CAGCATGCATTCTGAATATCCCTTCCCCCAATATGCCCTCCCTTCTACCACACTCTCCCTTCACGTATCTCCTTCCACTTCTATTTTCCTGTAGGGCAGGATAGATTTCTATACTCCTTTGCCTGTATATCTTATTTCCCAGTTGCATGTAAAAACAATTTTTAACATTCATTTTTAAAACTTTGAGTTCCAACTTCTCCCTTCCTCCCTCCCCACCCACCCTCATTGAGAACACAAGCAATTTGATATAGCTTATACATGTGTGGTCATGCAAAACACTCCCATAATAGTTATGTTGTAAAAGACTAACTATATTTCCCTTCATCCTAATAGGATTATCTTTCTTGAAAACCCATGTTTCTCAGACTAGTCCCAATCACCACATGGTGTTATGAATGTGAAGAATTTTGGGACATGGGAAAAAGAGGGCCTCATCAGAATGAAGGGAGAATGATATTTACCCTTTATGGGCTACTCTCAGTCCTTAAGGGTTTTTTTCCCCCTTTTTCTGAAGGACAGAATAATAGATACCTTTTATCTGATATATGCAATTATTTGGATGCTTGCACTGAATTCGGGGACCTATTTATCTACCTATGCATAAGCTATATTGGAGCTATATTCTGAAACCTTCCACCTGACAACTCTGAGTAGGGGAAAAACCGTCTGAATAAAGAGCCCCTTTTTGGGATAGCACCCAAGACTGAACTCACTCATCCTGCAGAAACCCAGTGCTGGAGGGTTCTGATCTACAAAGTCAAACACAAAAATATTAGAATCATTTCTATACCGCTTACATTCATGTAACTTTCCAAGTACCACATGGCAACAGGCAAGATATTCCACATATGTGTGAAATGAAGAAGTGGAGGCCAGGAAATATGTGTGAAGTAGGAAAAAACAGGGAATGACTGAATGCCTCAAAGAAGGGGAAGACATGTTGCATTTGGCTCTCATTTCACAAGTATCTCCCAAACTGCCCCGGCTCTGCAGGCTAATGAGAATAAGATTGCCCTGCTTCTGCAACCACAGAAAACTTGAAAACTTTGGCAACCATTGCCTCTTACTCCCCTATAGAAAAATCCATGAGCTCTTCATTTCAGGCAACCTTCTCTCTCTGTCTCTCTGTCTCCCCCCAGACTTGCAGCACCCCATCAGTTAAGAGCAGGTTAAGTTCATTTAGTCTTTTTCAACCATCAATCACGTACAGATGATCTTGAGACTTCGAGAAAATATGAAGACTATCAAGCTCATTATGGGATTGCAAGACTTTCTGCTCCCAGGAAACAAGGGTGTATTGTGCCCAGTGCCCAGTGGTTGAGCAAATCCAGCAAGTGTTGACTTCACCAAGAAGATAAACACGGGAGGCAGAACTGAAGTTAATCTGTTTGTGTAGCTGGGCTGAATCAACATCCAGAAAGGAATGAAAGAGGGGATCCAAGCCCTCTAGAGAGAGCCTTGGCTTCCTTGGTGCTGCTCTACACCTTGGCTGGAAACACGAATTAGGGTTCTGTTTAATAAACATGTATTCAATGGCACTCCTGGTCCGGAACCCAAGGTTCTAGTTCCACACTTTGGTCCAGTTGCCGGCACGGGGTCCTCACGAGTCATGCTCTTTGGTGTCTTTTGTTTCTGCTCAGAGTGCTCCCCTCCCCCTCAGGGAACATAATAATCTGGCCTCTGAGTCCCTATCAATCAACCAACAAGCATTTATTAAGGACCTGTTACTGTTGGGCACTGTCCTACCTGCTAAAGATGCAGAAATGAGAAATGGAAAGATTGCCGTTTGCAGAGAGCTTGTGTTCCGCTACAAGAAACAAGACGATATGTACATATTGCACCCCAACCCCCAATCGCTCTCCCATCCCCCACTAGTACTGGCAGGCTGGGTCCCCAGAGGACTACTCCTGCCAAGGTGCTGGCGATGTGGATAGAGAGCTGGGCCTGGAGGCAGGAAATCTCATCTTCCTGAGTTCAAGTCCAGATTCAGACTTCTATTATTTGTGTGACCCTGGGCAAGACATTTAACCCTGTTTGCCTCAGTTTCTTCATCTGTAAAATGAGTTGGAGAAGGAAATGGCAAACCCCTCCAGTGTCTTTGTCATGAAAACCCCAAAAAGAGTCATAAAGAGTCTGCCATGACTGATCAACAACCGCACAAGGTTTGATCATTGGCAAGCCCGAGGGGCGGGAGTATCTACTATCAGTCACAAGCCCCCATCTAAGGTACTGCCTCCCCTCAAAATTAATCAGGCAGTTGACATTAATCAGCTTTTACAAAAGAGAAAGTGTAGCAAGGACAGAAATTCTAAAAATACCCCTGTACTTCCCACGGAGAGAGCGTGTCCTAGTTTAAGATATTTGGACAAAACACTCCCCCTCCCCCACTTCAGAGCACGCTCTTCCTCCTGCACATGTCAAAGGTCTCTGGGGAGAATGGGTTCGAACCTGAAACCCAAAGGTGCCGAGGCACATGCGTAGGAGGCCCCTCGAGATTCCTGGCTATCCCTTGGAATCCTTTTCTCCTCTCAGGGAATCCCCACCAAGTTGGATGCTGGGTGTGGCATCCCAGTGGATCAGTTAATCCCTTCTCCCTACAGGATGTGCTATCTGAGTTCATTGCTTCGTGTGTTGTTGCTTGTCTCAGCGCAGCAGGCTGCTCTTCGGGGCTGGCTCCTTAGTGAACTCAGCTCCAGTTGCTACCTGTTCTGGTGGTCTCTGCCAAGGCTCCATTTGCTGAGGAGACCTCTGATAGGTCCTATAACCTTTGGACACTCACCAAGTCATAACCTGGTCTATTCTATCTCTGGATACTCATTTCACCTAAGATCAAGAAGGAATAAATGTAAAAGAAGAGGCAACATGCATTAGGGACACAAGGCAGCCGAAATGACTGCCCTCCTTTCCGCCTGGAGCCAGTTTTCCTTAGTGGCAAGCCACCACGGGCAGAGGGGGGAGCCAAGATGGCAGAGTAGAAGAGAGCAAGGAATTATAGCTTTTGTATGCACTTTTAGTTGTGGCTTAGCCTCTCCATCATCAGTACTGGCTCTTCAGTCAATGGAAGGATTCTTTCTCTTCAAAGTAGCTGTTCTTCCACCACTTATCACCATGTTTCTCTGCACTGGATGGGCAGAAGGCACAGAATATTGCCCAGCCTCAGAACCACATATGTTTCAAGAGCTAGCTAGGCTTTCTTTTGGCCAGTCATCCCCTCCCCCTTACCCAAGTATAGAGAATAAATAACAATAAAAACACAGGATAATCAGATACAGATGATTTGAGAAGATATAGAAGGCAGTGCTCAAGGTGAATTTTGAAGGAAGTGAAGGCATTCTGTGATGCAAGTGTGAGGAGGGAGGGCATTCCAAGCACAGGGTATAGCCAATGCAAAGAGTTGGAGTTGGAGAAATGGAGGTCATTTTGGCTGACCTTAGAGTCTGGATATAAAATAATGTTTAATGAGGCTGGAAAGATAGAGTGGGGCCAGGTCGTAAATATCTTTAAAAGCCAAACAGAGGAGTTTATATTTGATTCTTAAAGCAATAAAAAGCTAATAATTATTGAATTGGGAAGTGACATAGTCAGATCTATCTTTAAAGAAAACTTTTTGGCTGTCATGTGTAAGATGGACTTAGCTGATGACAGTGTTGAGGCAGGGAGGCCAAGGAGGAGGCTGCTGTAATAATCTAAGTAAGAGGCGATGACGGCCTGAACTGAGGGAGCTGTGTGAGGGGAGAGGAGTCGGATGTGAGAGAAAAGATAAAAGGGTCCTCACTTCCCACGTAAGCACTTTGTACACAAAACAGGCTGTATTTTGTGGTTGCTGTTCAGTTGTTTCAGTCGTGTCCAACTCTCTGTGACCCCATTTGGGGTTTTCTTGGTAAAGATATGGGAGTGGTTGGCTATGTCCTTCTCCAGATCATTTTACTGATGAGGAAACTGAGGCAAACAGGGTGAAGTGACTTGCCCTGCTAGAAAGAGTCTGAAGCTGGATTTGAACTCAGGTCTTCCTGACTTCAGGCCTGGCACTTGATCCGCTGTGCAACTTAGCTGCCTAGGCTCTGTTTAATACCCCCCAAAATGTGAAAGCCAGAAGGGACTCACAGTCAAGGCCAGGACAAGTGTAGCAGCTTTTCTTCCCTCTCTGTTGATGCTAAGCTGCCCTTCAGGCTTATCTAGAATTAAAGATCCCCTCCAAGGGGAGGCTCATGAGTCACGGGGCGTCCCCTTTCTCCCTGGACCCACACCATCTGTATCCCTCACAGTCCTAATGGCGTGCAGGGCCCAAGCTATGGGAGCCCCCAAAGGGCTTGGGTTAGAATCACGGGAGCACCAGGGGAAAGGTCACATTTATAGCAGTCGGGGGAAGCCCCAGTGAAGATGCCCCCCCCATGAGGGCAAACATCCAAGGGAGGCTGCAACGGACCAATTAGGACAGTGCCTTCTCATTCAGACCACTCTTAGAGAAGCAGCAGGTCTCAGGTCCTTCTGCCAGACAAGGCTCGCTAGGGAGAGCACTGCGTGTATTCTGGGGGGTGGGTGCCTTCTCTCGGGAACCTCGTGGCTCCTCGCGGTAGCTGCATGCAACCAGAAGGTGTCACTGTATGACAAAGCTGGTTATAAATTTTTTTTTAACTCCCTCCTCCCTTAGGAATTTGGAAAGGAGCTAAATCTTCCCAGAGTCCGCATGCCTGCCCCCACCTCAGCCATCAACACCAACATTGGGCAGTCCAAGGGGCATGCCCTTCCCTTGGCCTACACCTCCACCCCACCTCCTCCTCCTTGTTCAAAGCCTGGAGAATTGCCATTTGAAACTGGATACATAAATGACTCCTCTTCTTAGCGGAAGAGAAATATAGCCCTGGTCCACGTGGTGCCCTTTCTTTGCTCTTTTAGAGAGCTCAGAAATATAGGTAATTCACTTTAAAGATCACCTTAAAGTTCTCTCATGCATATATAGCTCTTGAACCCCCAGGTAAGGATCAAATTCTGACCACCACTCAACATGGCAATCGCTAAACATTTATTAAGTACCTACTATGTGCTAAGCACTAGAGATACAAAGAAAGGCTAAAACGATCCCCGAATTCATAGAGCTCGCATCCTAATGGGGAAGTCAACATGAAAAAACACTGAACCTCCAGGATTGTCCCCGAGAGAATATCTTCTTACCCCCTTATGCTTTGTGTTTCCCTTAAGATGTAAATCCGAGGGCAGGAACTGTCTCTTTTTGCTTGTATTTGTATTCCCACCACCAAGCCTAGGGCCTGGCACCTAGTAAATGCTTAATAAATGCTGGTGAAGTGACTGACACGCTCCGGGAATGCCTTTACGCTCACAAATGCAGTCTTCTTCAACAAGGACATGATAGAGGCTTCGTACAGCTCTTACCTAACTGGGTCTCTCTGTTGTAGTTCTCTGTTTTTCTGGTGGGGTTTGTCTTCCTCTTTGGGGCCAAGACGGCTGGCCAAGGGCTTGGTTTCCCCTGTGGGGCATCTTGCGGGGGGGGGGCGGGGGGTGGGGGTGGAGGGGAGAGAGGGCCTGGCTGGGCAGAGGCTGGTCTCCCTTTTGGATGCCATCTTGGCTTGGGGTGAGGGGGCTGATCTCCCCTTCGAGGGCGTCTTGGCTGGGCAAGCGGCTTGTTTCCCCCACCGGAGCAATCCTGGCTGGGCAGAAGGTTGGGCAGGGGTCTTGTTTCCCCTTCGGGGGCATCTTGGCTGGGGGGGATGATCTCCCCTTCTGGGGCGTGTTGGCTGGGTTGGGGCTGGCTGGGCAGGGGGCTGGTCTTCCCCTCGGAGGCCGTCCTGGCTCGGCAGCGGAGGCTTCTTCCTGGGAGGGGGCAGGACCGCTCTTAGAGTGAGGGTCTCGGCTCAGCGTGCAAGAGGGCCCATCGACACACCGGTTATCTTTCCTGCATTACCCCCTGGAGTTACACCCGAGCAACACACGAGGCTCTCCCCACGAGAGCCTTAAGACCTGGGGCTGAACCAGAACCACAAGCCTAGAGAGAGCGCTGGGCCGCGAGGAAACCTCTGAATGCGGAGTCAGTGCAACCGGCTTACCTAACCTTTCTGAGTCCGTGTGTCTCCACCCTTACGACTAGAGTCCTGGTCTAGACCCCTCTGCAGACTACATTTTCCAGGATGCCGCGCGCTTCGCCGGCGGAAGAGGCGTGTGCGCGTGCGCGTGCGCCGCGCCGCGCGCCCCCTCCGCCCCCACCCCCGCCCCCAGCGGCGAGGTGCATCGTGGGAGAGTTGGCGATCTCCATCATGGCGGCTTCCATTTCGGGCTACACCTTCAGTGCGGTGTGTTACCACAGCGCCAACAGCGACGCGGACCACGTAGGTGCCCGCCGGGGCCGGGGAGGCGGGGAGGAGCCCCGCGCGGGTCCGAGGAGGCGCCCCTCAGGCCGGCCCGGCCAGGCCCCGCCCCCCGGGCCCGCCCAGGCCCGGCCCTGCCCGAGGCGGCGGCCGCTGTGGTGGCGGAGAGGCCGCCCCGCCCGGGCCGGGGGCTAGCCCGGGTCCGGGGGGCTGCGTGGGGAGTCGAGTGTGTGTGGGTCTGTCTGTGTCTGTCAGTGCGTCCGTCCACACCCGCGAGTCTGTGCCCGGGTGCGTCCGTGTGTATGTGTGTGTGTCCACGCCCGGGTGCGTGTGTACAGTCGCGAGTGGATGCATGTGTTTGTGTGTCCACACCGGTGTGAGTGTGCCCACGCCCCGGGTCTGTGCTCGGGTGCACGTCCACACCCGCCAGTCTATGCCGGGGTGTGTGTCCGCAGCGGCGTGTGTGGCTGCAGGTTCGCCGGGGGCCTCTCGCGTGGGTGCTCGTGGGCCTAAGCCCGAGCAGTGTTGTGGTTGGCCGGCTGTCACTGCCCCATGCAGGGAAGGGGTGAAAGCTGGGCTGTGGGGGAGAGACCCCCTCCACAAACGACCCCCTCCTGGGAGGAGGAGGGTCTGCGGGGCTCGGGGCTCCCCGTAGGCTTTGCCGCCGGAGTCTGGGCAACAGGTGTTCAGGGTGTGAAGGAGCACGCGTGGAGCCCCGGGAGCGGAGCCTGCTGCCGTCCCGGCTCTGGGGTCCTTTCCTTTCTGCAGGCACCTCGTGAATGCTTATTGCCAGTGTAATGGAGTGAAGGCTGCTGAAAATGACGGCAGCCTAATTGGTTTAGCCATTGGGGGAAAGTGGTCGTTAATTGAAACCTGTTAGTCTTAAAAAAGTATAGGTGCAATCCTGGCTGTGCAAGGGCAGGAGGGGGTGTCCCTTTGGAGAGCTGAGGAAAAGCCCCCCTCCCCCCCCAAAATGGGACCCTAAGCGTGTGAGGTAGTGCTCCTAGAGGGAAGAGTCACAGAACCTTGATAGGTGCTGAGAAGTAACTTGTGATAAAATAGGGAGGCAGGAGGAAGGAGAGGGAAAAACCAATATCTACTAGGTGCAGCCTTGTGGAGGTGAACCGGCTGTAGTGTGATCTTCTGGGGAATAAAATGGGCCTTAGAGCATCGAGCTACCAGTTGGGGATGACAGAGACCTAAACCACTTCCCAGAAGCTCACGGGTTATTGTGGGGAAAATGTTTTGTAACCGCGTGAGTTGTTAGTCACAGAGTCAAAAATGGTACAGCCCAGAAAGGACCTTCAAGGCCGATTTCTGAGCTTGTTTCCTCATTTGTGAAGAAAGAGTTGGTCTGCTATGGAGGTCTTCCTGGCCTTAGATCCCGAGAGCAGCTGGTGGCGGTGAAATCGGGAAGTGGGGGGCCTGAATCAGCCCACAAAAGATAGTCAGGGACTAATAACGTCTTAGAGCCAGAGAGACTTCGAAGTCATTTTATTCAGCCTCCTTAGTTTACAAGCAGTCATAGCCTCTGGGGAGTGGATGAACATCTTTCTGAGAGGAAATTTTGGCTTCAGTACATAGCACATTTCCTTAATTGATTCCATAAATCATTTACAATATAAGAAACAGCTGGTGTATACTGTAAAATAAGTATTTACATTGTATTTCATTGTAAAAGAAGTATTCTGTTGTATCACTAGATCAAAGCAAAAAGAACAGATAGAGAGAGTTTTTGGTAGATGTCTGGCAATGATGGGAAATTGGTATAATTGGTGAGCTGAAATGGTGAAATGCTGTTCTTTTCATGTGATGAGGTTGATGATTATGGTAAATGACAAGGTGAAGAGTCATTAGCTCTGTGGTTCCAAAGTCAAGTAACTTGGGGTGAGTCATTTAACCTTTTCAAAGTTCCATTTTTCTCATCTGTAAAGTGGAGATAGTGTTTTCATTCCTTACCTGGAGCCTAGTATGTTAGTGTTGGAAGGGAGCTCAGAGGCCATACGCTTCTAGTCTGGCGTTTTCATTTTCCAAAGGAGGAGAATGAGGCCCAGGTAAAAATGTGTTGTCGTGGGTCACCAGACTAGTGAGAATCAGAACAGGCATTCCAGCTTGACTCCTTAGCGGTTGTGATTTCTCCTGCACCCACACAGGGTGCTTGGGAGGAAAGAGCTCTACAAATGTGCCCTTAATAGGATGCCTTGGACTCTCCTCCTCAGCTGTTAGGCACCATCATCAGGAACCATTTACACTAGGGGGGCTGTTTCTGATTCTCTTGAATGTCTGTGAAAACTTAAATAGGGTGAGAGATTGTGATTAGGTCTTGTATTTCTGCAACGAGCACTTGTGGTTGCACAGCTATTGGACAGAATTGACTTCCAAGGGGGAAGTGAATGGTTTAAGCTACACTGAGAACAAGGTGCTGTAGGTAAAAACCTAAGCCCACTTGAGAGCTACTATTGATCAGCTGTCTTTTGTCTTATGTCGTTCTTCATAGTTAGGGTTTGTTACATGGGGAATTTGGAAGGGTTAGAATAATTAAAAGGCTTAAACTGTTTTTCTGATTGGACAACTTGAACTGTGAATCGAATTATTTGCTCTTAAACTACAAACAATTAGAGACAATACTCAGTATTCTGAACTAATGGTGAATGACAGTGGCTCTGAAATCCAAACAAGTAAATAATTGAAATTCCTTCTATGTTAGTGTTTGGAAAGTGTTTTGAATGTAATGGCAGTTTATAGTACTAAAATTCACCCTATTTCAGATCAGATCATGAAACTGTACTGTAAAAATCTATTCATTTGAGCTTCCTGGTTCCCTGCTTCCTTTTGGGAATGGAGTTCATGCTAGGAAACCTTTCAGTCATGCAAAGGAGCAGGTGGACACTGGACATCTTGCTGGCTCATTCTTTTTCTGCAGGGAAATTATTTTGGTTTTCATAGAGTCTTCCAACCTTTGTGAGGCTAGAGCAAAGTACTTAAACCAGGGATGACCTACTAGGTGTTCCAGAGTTTTGTAGAGTAGTAATGCTCTTTCACCAAATGTATTAAAAAAAAAAGTATTCTGGTCTTATGAAAGTCAAAACTTCTGTACAAGCAATGTGAAATTTTGAAGTTGATTTGCTGAGGTCTTGATTTTCTAAGCCAAGTCAGAAGAGGAAGTAGCATTTTTTAGAAGTAGGAAAGCCGGGTTGGTATGATGGAAAAGGGCCAGATTTGGAGTCAGAAGACTTGAGTTTGAATTCTGACCCAGCTCCCTAGGTTGCCTTGGGCGGCTTGCACTCTCTGAGCTTCATTTTCTTCCTCTGTCCATGGAGGGGTTTGGCTAGAGATCTGTAAGGTCTCTTTTGTGATCTAAATCCTATGATTCTTTGTAATTCTTAGCTTTTCTTGTGCCTTTCTCATTGGCAGTGATTTTGTAATTATGATTTAAAAGTGGTAGCTGTTATGGCCAGGAGAACTGTTGGTTTTTGCAAGTATGTGTAGATAATGCAATCTTATTCTCATCCTTTATCAAGTAATTTTCATTTTAAGTGAATATTTCAAATTAAAAATTTACTAATGTGGCATCACTGCTTTCAACTATCCAGTTACATTGTAGGCTGAACCTCAGGCTACCTTGTTCAGTTTTTCAGAGAATATTTATAATGAACTTGCTTTGATTATTGTGTTTAACAAATTAAGATTCAGTATACAACGACAGTGGATTAAGTTACAATGTGAGCTTCATTCTTATTTTGAATCTACAGCATGTTTTTTTTTAAATCACTTTTTAGGAAGGATTTTTGCTGGGAGAGGTAAGACAAGAGGAGACATTTAGCATCAGCGATTCACAAATCAGCAACACTGAATTTCTGCAAGTAATAGGTAAGTCCATTTAAACTTTTACTTTATGGTTGTTTTTGCACGTCAAATCTTTGGCTTGTTTCTTATCTACCATCATATTATTTTGAAGAAAAACTCCATGAAAATGAGCTTTGGATGTTTCCTGTTTCCCCCGTGCCCTTAACGATTTATGCCTTAAGATTTCTGGGGATTAAAAAGTGCACCTGCCAACCCAGTGACTTGATGCATGGGACTGATAGACTAAAGTTAGAGCCTGTGGTTCTGGGCTAGATCCTGAAACAAGTGTAGCCCATGCAGGGTGCAGTTTGCCTCCCTAGACTTCTCTAACATGGGACTCTAACATGGGCTGCTGAAGGGACCTCTGAAGTTGGTCCAGATTTTGTCCCCTGTGTGACTCGGTGTTGGGCCTGGGCAATCTGGACAGCCCTGGTTAGCTCTGCATTTCTGATAGTCTGAGTTATACATGAATTATACATTTGTGCCATATGTGCATGTATGTGTGCACACACACACACACACACACGCGCATGAACGCGCACACCAGATGTTTTTAAACAGCATCTATGTTGGCATTTGTGGTGGGAAGAGGGGGCATGGAGATCAGGAGTCAGGAGACTTGGGTTCCAGACTTGGTCACTCATTGTCTGACCTCTTCCATGGCACTGCCCAGTTTGGGTCCCTACAGGTGGGGTTTGGGCTAAGTGACGGCTAAGGTCGCCTTCGGTTCTGCTAGTCTGATTTAAGTTATATATTTAATTATAATGATAATAGCTAGTATCCTTATGGTGCTTTAAGGTTTGCAAAGCACTTTACAAATATTATCTCATTTGATCCTCATGACAACCTTGGGAGGTATTATTTCAATTTTTACAGATGAGGAAACTGAGGCATAGAGAGGTTAAGTGACATATAAGAGGTTAAGGGTCATTCAGCTAGTAAGTGTCTGAGGCTGGATTTCTACTCAGGCCTTCCTGCTTTCAGGTCCAGCACTCTGTGTATCTGTGTCACCTCACTGCCTTTAATTAGTGAAATCAATACTAGGAGTGTTTATTAATTGCATATGTGGCTTAGCAAGTATTACAAAAGGAAATGTGACTTTGTGGCTAGAGCCAGAAAGCTCTGTGTCCACACCCTGCCCCTGGCCCATCCTGGTTCTGTGATCCTGGCCAGGGCTTTTAGCTTCTCAGGGCCCTGGGGCAGCATATCTGCTTTGGGAAAGGGAATGCACCATGCCCATGACACCCCCGGTCTAAATGAGATGTTATAGGTTACACCCATTCCTAAGCAATCTGCTCTGCGTGTTGCTGTGGCGTAATAGACAGCATTGGACCGGGAGACAGAAAACCCTTGCTTGGGTCCCCGCTGTGGCACGACGTCAGGGTGCCAGCCATGCCCTTCCTTCCCTGTGCTGGGATTCCGGCCTGGGCCCCCCTTAACTCCCTGGCAACGTGAGGGCTTTGGCCAAAAGGTTTCTAAGGTGCATTCTGGCTCTGTCAGTCCACGGAGCTAAGAACTGTAGGGTCAGGTACTCAGCAAAGGGCTCACAGCTGACAGGCCCCATTCTTAGGCTTTTTGGTTTCTGAATTTTAATTTTTTGGTTCTCAACTTATCAGACACCAAGCCCTCCAACCCCGGCAAGCTACAAGCATTTCGATGTGCAAAGTCAAACACAAAGAGAGGATCACCTGTGCTGTAGTCTCTACTGCTTGTTTTTGAAGCACGTAAGAAATTCACTGGGTCCTTTTCACACACCTCCTTCTCGCTTGTGCTCTCTTCTGAGTGTCCTCTGTGCACTTTAAAATATTTCAGAGGCCCGTCTCCTTTTTCTTGTGGGCAGCATCTGTCAGAGGCCCTTGCCTCCCCCACCTCCCTCAGAAAGTCAGCCTTTGTAACAACTATGCATGATCAAGCAAAGCAAGTCCCGCCCAGGCAGTGCGCACTCCCAGGGCGTCTGTGTCCTCCCGCCCCTTCTTGGGAGGAAGCAGGTAGCGTGCTTCTCTGCAGGTCTTCTGGAGACGTGCTCGGTCGTCGGGGGACCTTGCTGCGATCAGGGCCTCTGAGTCTTTCAGGGTTGTTTTCCTTTACAGTGTTGCGATCCTCATGTGAATTATTCTGCCGGTTCTGCACCACGTCGTACTGCGCAGGGTTCTTTGACGTTGTCTCTTTGGTCACTTCGTACAGCCCCTCATCCGTTCACGTTCTGTTAGTTTATTTGCTGAGAGTCTTTTCCTGGCGATTTAGCAATCAGTCTTAGGGCCAACTTTGAAGATTTGATACACATACCTGCATGTGCGCTCTCTCTAAATCTCTCTCTGTCTCTTCCCTGTCACTCTGTCTCTCTTTGTCTCTGTGTCCATGTGCTCATGTGCATGCGCACACGCCCTTCCATCTGTAAGATGCATACGCATATCTACGTGTGTAGACACACACACACACACACACACACACACACAACACACACACACAGTGCCACAGCCACAGCCACTTCTGCTTCTCCAAGTGTTCAGGCATCTTGGGATTTAATTCTAGTCCCAGGTTCGCTCACTTGTGAGACCTGCCTCTGTGACAAAGAGGAGTAATAACCCTTTCTTTCAGCTCTGTTTAACTAGGACCAAATAGTATGATCCCTTAGACCTGGGAAGAAAAGAAACAGACTGTCAGAGGTGCTGTGAACTCCACCAGATCATTAATTGTTGACCTCATCCTCTCAGAAAACACTGAGAACCGTGAGAACCTGTGGGGAGAGGTCTGAGGCTTGGAAATGAATCAGCTCCAGCCTTAGGAGAGAGCATAAGAAAACCTTGAATCAGCCAGAATATGAACTTCTAAATACAGACTTTCATTGTGGCTGGTGTTCATTTAGGAGGTTTCCAAATTATTTAGCTCCTGCACCTCTAGGAACAACCTTCTTTCTGCATACTGCACTTAGGAAGAATCCCAGATGCAGCTGAGCAGGAGGCCTGGGCTCCCTTCTTGGGATCTTCCTTTACCGCGGACATAGCCTTGGTCTAGTCAGTTTGTCTCTCTGGCGCCCAGTTTTCTCATCTGTACTTGGAGAGACTTGGCCTAGGGTGCCAAGATTCCCTCTAGTTCTAAGGCTGAGAGCCTTGTCTTTGGGAGCAGCATTGTGTGGATTGTGTCAAGTGATGGGACTTCGTGTAACTTCCAGAACGAGAGGAAAAACCAAGTGGATGAGACCGGCAGACAAAGCTTGTCCCTCAGTGTGTAGCTTTTGGGCAGCGGCTGCTGCTGCAAATGGATGATGAATTAAGCCCATAATTGAAAAAGGGAAAGAAACTGTGTTGTCTTGGAGAAGTTACAGTATTTTGTTAATGATCCTAAGCTCTTCCTGAAACAGAGGCTTCTCTTCTTAAGGCCGATAATCTTCTGGTGATACAGGACTCTGAGTCGTGAAAAACCTTAGTGTCTGAAGAATTGAAATTTAGGCTCATTCAAAGGGCAGTGAAGAGACCTATGGCCAGTGGGAGCAGACTGTATCCCATTACAAACCAGGAGTGGCATAGGGGAAGCAGATCCTCAAAGAAATTGCATGACCTCGAAAAAAAGACACCTGGTCACAGAGAATAAGGGATAATGAATTGGTGGCCAGCCCACATTCTCCATCAGTACTTACTCAATGTCAGGAGACCTAGGAAGGCCTGCAGCTCTTTGGAGGGACCCTCCCTACCAATTACTCCCTTTGGCAGGTTTGTGGAAGGTCATGGACAAGGGTCTGCAGGATGGCCAAGAGGAGAAGATTCTGATCCATGATGTTGAAGGAAACACCCACAGCGATGGGAGGTGGGTCCTGTTGTTATCCTCATTTTACAGGTGGAGAAACTGAGGCTGAGATAGGTTAAATGACTTGTCACATAGCAAGGAAGTATCTGAGGCAGGATTTTCACTCAGGTTCTCTTAGCTCCCAGCCCAGTGGTCTCTTGACTGTGCCACTTACTTATTCTGTGTCCCCTTGATAGAGGCTGAGGAACAAGAAAACTTATTTTGTAGGTTATTGGGATAGGTTTTAAATAAATCAACATAATTTGCAATTTGTTGATAACCACAGAATGAGCCCTAAATCCCTGGGTGTGCCCATTTTAAGAATGGTTATGGGTGTGGGGTTTCCCAAGGTTCTTAGTCTTCCTTGTACAGTGGCACCCTTGGGTGCCCAACTACAAGGCAACTGGTAAGTTCTGAGGGCTCTATGAAGACAAATAGAACAAATCTGTTCTCAAGAAATGGAGCACCCAGGAGGAGACATGAGGCTTATTCACAAATGTAATACAACATAGAAGTATAAAACATGGAAGAGAGGTACAAAGAGGGTGTTCTGAGAGTTCAGGAGAGGGAAGGAGTCTTTCCAGAAGTGGGGTTTTTTATTTGGGGGAAGGCTGAAGGGAGGAGAGGATATTTCAGCTGGTGGAGCTGCAGAGGTGACCGGATGCCGGGAGGTGCAGAGTGGGATGTAGTTAGGGAATGGTAGGTGGTCCTCTTTGGGGAGTGTATTAGATAAGACTGGAACATTGACTTAGAATCAGATGATGAAGGGCCATGGCTGCTGAGCAAAGTAGGTTAGGATTTGGGGAGAAAACAGTTTGAGAGAGAGATGAAAGTAAAGTGAATAATAAATAATAAAATGTTCACCAGATGGCAGTAACTGAAAAGGATTTGGGAAGGTGAGGTCTGCGTCCCAGCAAGCCGGCAGAATCGAAAGAATGGCTGTGGACCCTCAAAAGTCGCCTACTGAGCCTATGGGGCCAGTGCAGATGCACAAAGTCAGAGGCGTAAAGGAGGCTGCAAAGGTGCCAGCCCCTGCAGCAGAATGACCGTAGAAGTTAGCGCTCTGCTCACAGAGTGGTCACGTCATTGACTTTCCTTGACTCTCCCTGGAGCAGTGCCATCATATTATGCAGCCCCTCTAGGGTTAGTGACCTTGTTGCTGGGCCTTCAGGGTCTAAAGGAGGGGGGTGGAGGAAGTCTCTGGGCAAGTGGTCTGTAGAGCTCTGGATTTCCAGCACATTTTTAACCTGTTTGTCAATCATAAAGGAACTAGTGGATCTAGTTTGTGACAAAAAGGTGTTTCAAGTTCAGCATCAGCTCTGGGGTGGTTTTCCCGAAGCACATCTCCTGTCCTTGAAGACAGAAGGCGATCTTCCTAGGGTGCGCAACAACAGGACTACAGCACAAAATGGGCTAATTGGCTTTATTTTGCAAGTGATTTGTGCACAGTTTAGGGCTACATGCAGCGTGCAAGACTCGGATTAGAAATGGTGTCTTGGGCTTGAAAAGAATTAGCTGTTTCTTCATTAATTTCCACGGCTGCAATACCGCAGCCCTAGCCAAAGATGACAAGAGCTGCTACTTCTAGACTGACGACATTTTCACACACAGTCTTTTTGGGCAGCGAAGCTAGAGTGGAACCCATCATACTTGAGCCCCTAAGTTTCACTCTGATCTACAATTGCGGTCTTGAACGCAGAGGGTTTGGCTCTTTGGACAGCAAGTGATGAGTCATTCCACTGTAGAATGTGTGAGATGGAATCACGGTCAAGCTGGCTGGGGTTACTTATGCAGAAACACAGCACTTGAGCCTCTTGACAAGGTGGAAGTCTGTTCACTTTCCTTTGAAGTCAGTAAAGCTCTGTCTGCTAACTCACTGTTTCACTGTGTCTGAGATGGTTAATGTCCCTCAAATAGGAGGAATCTGTTTTGTCCTTCATAACATCAGGCCCACCATTGGAGATTTCCTTACAGAGGCCTGTTTCCAAAGTGAACATTTCCCCCATCATTTCTGTTTAGTCACAAATGGAAAAAGGGCAGCTAGGTGGCACAGTGCATAGAGCACTGGCTCTGAAGTCAGGAGGACCTGAGTTCAAATCCAGCCTCAGACCAAACACTTGACACTTACTAGCTGTGTGACCCTGGGCAAGTCACTTAACCCCAACTGCCTTAAAAAAAAATGGAAGAGCAGTTGAGTTACGTTCTTGCTTCATCGAACTCTTGAACATTTCTATCTGTTGAAGGATGCCATTGACCACCAGATTGCAGCATTAGGAATGAGATCTGGTATGATACCTTCAAAATACAGATGGAGAGAGTGAGGCCCAGAGAGGTTAGGTGACTTCTCCAAGGTAACCTAGGTGCAGGTGGTAGAACTGGAACTGAAACCCACCTGGGGGCGCCGTGAGTGCAGTTCTGGGCCTGGAGGCTTCGGACACTTACTAGATGGGTGACCTTGGGCAAGTCCCTTAACCCTGTTTGCTTCAATTTGTCATCTGAAAAGGGGATCATAATAGCACCTACCTTTAGGGTTGTTGTGAGGATCAAATGAGATAATGTTTATAAAGCACTGCGAGCACAGTGGCTGGCACGCAGTAGGTGCTTACTCCTTTCCCCAAACACCTTGCTCCTGCCACTCTCCTAGGATGACTTTGCTTGTGATTGAATGTAGGCACACAAGTCCCTGGATGGCAGGTGAAAGGCTGCTGGCAGTGTGTACTCCTCGAATGCAGAAAGGGGTGCTTCAGTACCTTGGTGACTTTTGTAGTGAAAATATGTTCTTGAGTGCAGGTAGGTAGGAGGTAGCCCCGTCTTTGTAAATGACCCAGATGGGCCTTGACTGAACTTGGGGATCCTGCTTGTTGGCACTGCTTCCCCCAAGGTAGCTGGAACCCTCGTTCACTTTGCTAGGCACCCTTTGTCAGTACGTAGGAAACAGAATAAGGTCCCTTTGGTTTCCTGAGACTTCTGTTTCAAAGGGACGTGGGCTTCTCTCTAGCCACCTTGTCCTCTTTCGTGACTAACTGAAATGACTGTTATCTTTTCTCTAATTCCAGAAATCCATAATCATGAACCTTGTCCAAAGCTGTTTAGGTAAGTTGTCTTTCTTCTCTTTATGGCATAGCACGTAGCTCACGTTTAAAACCTGCTTGGTTAGAGCCTGGGTGAGTTGAGGCCCAGCTGGTTATGGAGTTCTAGGAGTTAGAGATAGAAGGGTCCTTAGAAACCACCCTGTCCCAACCCCTCCTTTTACAGATGAGGAAAACAAGGCCCAGGCAGTGATGTGGCCTGGCCGAGATCTCAGGGGACAAGCACAGGCCTTCTAGCAGCCTGTGCTGTATGGTCTGCAGGAGCCGAGCCCTGCCTACAGTCGGTGGCATTCCAGATGATCCCTCGAGCCCCGCCTAGCTCGCCGGTTTTGTAGGTGATGTTTCTTTGAGTCCCTGTTCAGAAGGAAAGGTTATTGGAGGTGGAAGAAATCATCTTTCAGTCAGGGGAAGATTAATCTTCAGAAAAGGGGAAGAGCTTTTATTCTGCCAACACTATTGAACCATAAAGGAGAAAAAAAATCCGTTTTAGTGCCACACAGAAGTAAAAACTCTATATAATTTTGTTTTTGTTAGAAATATGATTTTGTTTACCCACCCTTTTAAAGTTAATAGAGAGAGCATAACACTTTTTTTGTCTTATCTATTACATATATTTCAGTTCCATATTATGGTCAGCTAAAGGAGAGACAGATGGGGAAAGAGAAGGGAGGAGACCTAGAGACATTTGAAGGGAGAGAGAAGCAGATGGAAGAGAATGTGAGAAACACCCAGAGGGAAGAGGGTGAGAGATGAAAAGGCCCCTGCCTTTTACCCACGAAGGTGCCCCTCACCACCATGCCAGCCCTGCTTCTGCTCCAGGGCCTCTTCCCTGGTTGTCCCACCAGCCTTCTAAAAGCTATGTACCCTAGTACCCTTCCAGAGCCCTTGCCTTGCCTTAAGATCTCTAGTCCCTTGGCCATGACAGTATCACCTCTAGCCTTGACCCAGTTCAGCCAAGCAGTTTGGACCAGCTCTCTCCCCACTCCCTCCCCAGGGGCCTGCATAGGCCACCAAGCTGGCCTTGACCTTTTCCTATGACATCTAGCCCCAAGGTTTGACCTGATGACCAAGCTAACCTTGCACTCCCCAACTGGCCACACTGTCGTGTGGCTTCCTCCAGCCTCCCCAGGTGGTCTGGGGCCTGTGTCCCCTTTCATCTTCTACTGGGGACTTGCCCCTGGTTACTGAGCTAGGGACACCCTTGCAGAATGCATGCGGACTTAACCTGGACCCAGAGGTTTTACTTAGCCCTTTGGCAGCAAGTTCTTTACCCGTCATCATAAGATCACAGAAATCTAGAGCTGAAAAGACCCTAGAAATTGTTTAATTGAATGAATGGGCTTCTTGTTTTATAGATGAGGAAACTGAGGCCCAGGAAGGGAAGTGACTGGTCTAAGGTCATGCAGGTACCAAGCAGGAGAGGAGAGCTCCCTGTGGTATATTTCAGAAATTAAGGACTCCTTCTTGGCTGGGTAGCCTTTCCTTGCTGTCCCTGGGACACGAGGCTCTCGGGACGCTTCTTTCCCAGTGTCCATGGCGTTTCTTCTTGCTCTTCCTGGGAGCTTCCCTATGGCGTGGGTTTTGGCAGCTCCTGACCAAGCAGGTTCTGTGTGGAGCTACCTATTGTCCTTGTAACAGCCGAACCCTCCTCTGGAGGAGCCCCCGAGAGCTGGCAGGACACCTGGCTGGAGGAGCACAGCTCACGCTGCTTCAGGAGGCCCTGCCAGGAAGGCCCGCACTTTAACCTAATCTGAACTGAATAGCTGGGACACTGTTACACGTGCTGGGCTTTTGCTATTTAAAGCAAACAGCAGATACACAGTGATTTGTAATAGTCTATTTTGTAACTGAACTTTTGTGTAATAGTGACAGATTCGTGAGATGTAGCAATTTCCATCTAAGAGTTCTTTGAGATAAAACATACCCTCCATTATTAGGACATTTAAAATAATTTGTTTCTAAGATAACACATGGAGGAGAAACAGTTTTTCACTTCAAGGGTTGGGGTCATGGAGCTAGCAAAATCTGTCTCTTGGAGCTCAGTGTAGCAGACCTTTACTGACTGTCTCCCATGGTTCAGTTCAGTTCAATAGGCCTTTGTAGGGGCCCGGCTGGTAGGAGACCACACGCACATGGACAGAATACCTTTGAGTAATGGGGAGGGGGAGGCTGACTTGGGATTGACCAGTAAGGGAACTTCCTTCTGCCCAGGCAGCCCAGCCCAGGCTCCTCCATTTCCATTAACAGAGTCAAACTGCAGCCAGCCTGTCTAGGTATGCTGGTGACGATGAGTGCGGACGTGAAGGATTTTCTGTTGGTCACTTTTAATAACCGAGGATTCGCCCTCCAGTTTCCATCTCTTGTTCCTCAGGGTATCACCACCCCTAACACTAGGAGCGTGATAGAAGGACTCCCTAAATTGCCAGATAGGTGTGGATACTTTGATCACATCTTTGTGTTGGAATAAAACAGAGCATTTACTCTGCCCTTTCAAGCAGATGTGCAACATTTACTGTTGTCTCGTAAAATGACCTCAACACAAACCCTTTTTTGGTGTGGCCCTCTGCTGTCCTTTTGACATTTTTTCTCTTTCACCCCATCCTAACTTTAGTACGTTTCAATTTAACAGTCATTTATTAAACTCTTAATATGGGCAGGCAATGGGCCTCATTTTTCAAAGGTGAAAATGAAATTGTCCCTACCTTACTTCAAGTGTTACCAACCAAAAGGAGTTTGAGGTGGGGAGGACTAGGGAGAGAGGGCAGTGAGGGGAGGACTAGGCGGGCACATGGATGGAGCTTCAGTGAGGTCCTACTCCAGGGCTGAGGCAGCATTTGATTTGAATATCATTGGAATTTGAAATGTAGCATTTGAACTGTTGCATTAATGGCCATTAGCTAATTGACAAGGGGTGTTGTGTGAGAAGTGGTTTGTAAATTCTGTCTCACTTTTTCTTTTTTTCTTGAACTTAAGCTTTTATGATTATGCTGGGAAAATTGATGAAGAGAGTTTGGACAGGCTTCTTAAAGATCGAAGAAAGGTAAGTTTTATTCGTTGTGCTCTTGTTACCTCAGGGAATTGGATTAAACCTCGAGGCTCCTTTTAGCTCTAAAACCGTCCTCTTCTCATCATAGACATCATCGCAGGGTACAGCGAAAAAGGAGCTGAGTAGTTCATTTGTTGTGTTTCTCTTATGAGTTTCATGCTCAGCTAAAAGTTGGTCCCAGCATCTTTTCTGTTGATGCTGCTGTGAGTGAATGACAGCTGTTCTTTTAAATCGAATAAAATTCAAAGCAAACCATCACTGTCTTACAGTAGTCTTGATCTAATAGGCTCAAAACCTCTTAAGCAAAAACTTAAAACATTAAATCTGAATTTTGAGGAAATAAATTGGTTGTAAAATGACCGTTCCAAAGATTTTGAGAACATAAGAAAGGAACATCAGATGGAGCAGCTAGGGGGCGCCATAGTGCACAGAGTGCCGGGCCTGGAGGCAGGAGGGCTCCTCTTCCTGAGTTCAGATATGACCTCAGACACTTACTAGCTGTGTGACCCTGGGCAAGTCACTGAACCCTGTTTGCCTCAGTTTCCTCATCTATGAAATGTTTCGTTTGAACCTGACAGCCACCTTAAGGGGGAGGTATTATCATCTCCATTTTACCTATGAGAAAACCAGCAGGGAAAGGATAAGTGACTTGCCCAGGGTCACGCTGCTAGCAGGCAGCTGAGGCAGGGCTCCAGCTCAAGTCTGGTTTCGTCTCCAGTATGCCACCTATTTTCCACAGTAGTTCCCTCGTGGTCACTCAGGCAGGAGAGCTGGCGTTTGTTTGTTTTTTGTTTTGTTTTGTTTTGTGTTTTTTTGGCTAGGCACTGGGATTAAGTGACTTGCCCAGGGTCACACAGCTAGTAAGTGTTATGTGTCTGAGGCCGGATTTGAACTCAGGTCCTCCTGACTCCACCTGAAGCCAGTGCTCTATCCACTGTGCCACCTAGCTGCCCCAAGAGCTGGGATTTGAACCAACTCCAGGGCCCTTTCTGCTCTGTCTTCCCAAGAGGATCACAGCTAAGTTTTTATGTATGTGATCAGAGACCCACACTGTCGTCTGTATTGTGTGTCACTATGGGAGCACAGCAGTATCTTATTGTCGGGCCTGGGGTCTTATGGGAAAGAATGAAAAAAGGAAAGGAAAGGAATAAATGGATGAGAAGGGAAGATTGGAAAGGAATGAAGAATATGGTGCTCTGCAAATTATTCTCAATAGTTGACTATGAAAACACTCCCTTTATATGACAAATATGATAATAATGCCTAAGCAATGGAGGGCTAATCAGGGAAAGAGAATTGGAGATCAATATCACTAAAAATCATTCGTGCAAAAAATTTTAAATCCTAACAAAAAGATTATACCGATATATCTACAAGATTATTCACTGTAACTAAGTTGGATTTATGTCAGGGATGGTTCAACATTAGGAAGACAGTATGATCACCTTGAAACAAAAACACAAGATAAGGTGTTAACAAATGCCTTTGACAAAATATAATACTTATGGAGGAAGATCATTTTTTAACATGAGAGAGAGTATACGTCTGTGCTTTTATTTTTTTTACTTTTGTACATCTATACTCTATACTTGCATCACTTGTCATAAAGAAACACCAGAAACTTTTCCAGTAAATACAGGAGTAGAGCGATGTTAACATTTTTCTAGAAATGTTAGCAGTAAAAATATGACAAGAAATTAAAGGCATAAACACCATCAAAGAAAAGTGAAATTATTCCCTATTTGCAGATGGCATGATGGTTTGCTCAGAAGGTCCCACAAAACCAGCATACTAATTGAGATAATTGGTAATTTCAGTTAAGAAGAAGGAAACAAAATGAATCCATTAAAAAGAAAACATTTCTATAGGACTATAACAAAAACAAAGAGGAACTGACAAACACCAGTCACAATAACTTTGAAACAAAATATTTGGGAGACATACTACTGAGACCCTCAAAATTTGTATAAATATAATTACAAAACAATCTTTACTGCAAAGAAGAAACATTTAAGTAACTGGAGCCACTGCTCTTGGTTGAACTGCAGCAATGTAGTAAGAATCACCAGATGGCCAAGATTTGGAAATGGAAGGGATGCCCGTCAGGTGGGGAATGGCTAACCAAGCTGTAGTGTATGATTGTAGAATATTACTGTGCTGTGAGAAATCACATGAACTGATGCGTAGTGAAGTGAGCAGAACTAGGAGAATGTTGGACCCAGTAACAGCAACATTGTGACAAAGATCACCTGTGAATGACTTAGCTCTTCTCAGCAAGACAGGGATCTAAGACAGTCTCAAAGGATTAATGATGAAACATACTATCCACTGCCAGAGAAAGCCCTGATGTTGTCTGACTAGGGACTGAAGCCTGAGATTTTTCACTTTCTTCCATTTGGTTTTCTTTTATTTGAGTCATCTTGTACAAAATAACTAACATGGAAACGTTTACATGTGATTGCACATGTGTGACCTGTATCTGATTGCTTACCATCTCAGGGAAGGGGGAGGGGAGGGACAGAATTTGGAATGCAAAACTTTAAATAAAAGTGTCATAAATAAATAAATAACTGGCTCAGAAATCAAAAGGCAGGGAGAGGTAATCCTACCTTAGCTAACTGTATGCAGTCTTTTCTTTAACAGCCACCTCCTAGAACAGCAGTTTCCTCACGTTCTTTTTGAGTTTTGCAGGCATCTGCTTTCCAAAATAAAGAATTTTTGCATTTATAAGAGACTTTATGATGTGTAGAATAAAACGGTTTTTCAGAACCGATTCTGAAAAAAAAGAATCACCATACTGTCTAAAGTGAGTTAAGATTTAGTACTATACTGATTAAGTTACCAAGAGGTTCCTTCCTAGTTAGGGGCTGGGACTGGACATGTGATCGCAGTGTTATAAGGAATTCCCTGGTGAGTAAGCTGCCATGGGGTGGGTTGGTTTTTTTGGTTTTGGTTTTTTTTTTTTTTGCAACTGATAGTCTTCATTGCCCAAAGCACAGAGAAGTCTAGTGTTTTCCCGGTATTACATGGTTGGTACGTGTCAGGCAGAACTTGGACCCAGGTCTTCCTGCTTGTGAGGCTGATTCTCTGTCACTGACCATATTCATCCAGCTCTAACTTCTCTCCAGAGCTGTGGTCTCTCCTCACCAGCTGTTTCTTGGTGTCTCAAACTGGATGTTCCAAAGGTATCTCAAATTTAACATGTTTGAAACAGAACTCATTATCTTTCCCCAAAACCTTCCTCTCTTCTGCACTTCCCTCTTACTGTTGAAGGCCCCATTATCCTCCCAAGTCACCCAGGCTCAAAACTGTAGTGTCACCTTCAGTTCCTCCCACATCTCCAGTGCATTGCCATGTCTTGTCTCTACTCTCATAACATCTTTCCTGTGTATCTCTCATGCCACTCCCCTGCTACAGGCCCTTATCACCTCATTGCCAGACTTTTTTTTTTCCCCTCAATTTTTTTCAGTAGTCATGTTGTGAAAGAAGACACAAACCCAAAGGGGGGGAAAAAAGCCAGCCTGAACAAAGTGCAGAAAATGAAAAGTAGTATGCTTTGATCTGCATTCAGACACCTCCAGTTTTTTCTCTGGAGGTAGATACAGCATGTTTTCATCATGAGTCCTTTGGAATTGTTGTGGATCGTTGTATTGCTAAGAATAGATAAGTTGTTTACAGTTGTTCATCATACGGTATTGCTGTTACTGTGTACTGGTTCTGCTCACTTTACTTTGCGTCAGTTCATGTAAGTCTTTCCAGATTTCTCTGAAATCTGCCTGCTTGTCATTTCTTCAAGCACAGTGCTATTCCTTTACAATTGTATGCCATAACTTATTCAGCCATTCCCTAGTTGATGGGCATCGCCTCAGCTTCCAATTCTTTGCCGCTACAAAAAGAGCTACTATAAATATTTTTGTGCCAATAGGTACTTTCCCTTTTTTTGGGGGGGGGTACAGTTTTATAGCACTTTGGGCATAGTTCCAAATTGCTCTCCAGAAGGGTTGGATCAGTTCACAACTCCACCAAAAGTGTGTTAGTGTCTCAATTTTTCCACATCCCCTCAAACATTATTTTCCTTTTCTGTCATATTAGCCATTCTGATAGGTATGAGGTGATATCTCAGAGATATTTTAATTTGCATTTCTCTAGTCATTAGTGATTTTTTCATATGACTATAGGTAGCTTTGATTTCTTCATCTGAAAACTGCCTGTTCATATGACCATTTATCAATTGGGGAATGACTTGTATTCTTATAAATTTGACTCAGTTCTCTATGTATTTGAGAAATAAGACCTTTATCAGAGACACTTGCTGTAAAAATTGTTTTCCAGCTTTCTGCTTTCCTCCTAACCTTGGTTACGTTGGTTTTGTTTGTGCAAAACCTTTTAAATTTCATAGAGTCCTAATTGTCTATTTTACATCCATCAATGCTCTTTGGTTTAGATATTGGACTTAGAGCAAAACATAATTGTTTTTGAAGGAACCACCACTAGAAAGTGTGTCAGTCATTCCAGGAGAATTGATGAAGTCCTATATGGCCAGTCACTGTCTTTGGACCTGTGGAGAGATGCAGATAAAAAGGATGTACTCTCTTGACCTTAGGAGACTGATATTCCTGATTCAAGACTCTTTGTGGTGGAAGCTCTGCTTCAGGGTGGGGGCAGGGGATCAGGAAATGTCTCATGAAGGAGCTGGCCTTTGAGCCAAGCCTTGAAGGAAGCTAAGGATTCAAAAAGGTGGTGATGAGGAGGAAGAACATTCCTGGTGGGCCAGGGGAGAGTAGGGGTGGGGCACCCAGACTAGGGTAGTGGAAGGTACGGATGCTCGGCGGAGGGAATAGCAGACGGGCTAGTGGCGCTGCAGCGGAGACAGCATGAGGAGGTGCAGTGTGTAAAAAGCCTGGAAATGTAGACCGTAGCTGGATTGTGAAGGACGTTCAGTGCTCCAGAGAGGAGTCTGCATTTTATTTTAGAGATAGCAGGTGATATGGTGAGACCAGGCTTCAGGAATATCAATCTGGCAGCTATGTGAGAGAGGGATTGGAGAGAGGCGAGACTCGTGTGTCAGGGAGGCCAATTGTTGTGCTGGTAGATCATTTCGTCATCGATCTTATTTAAGTATAGGCCCAACAGGGGGATTTGTGCATCCAGTGGTTCTAGAAACCGCTAAGTAACTTGTCTCCCATCATTCCAGTTTCCTGTCATCCTGGCAGCATTTACTGTTTTTGGTTTTGGTGTTTGCCTTGGCCAGTTTAATGGATGTGAAGGTTGATAGCTCAGAATTGTTTTGATTTGCGTGTCTTTTAGTGATTTGGAGCATTCTTTTCATGAGATTGCCCTTCTTTGAGAACTGTCTGTAGCCTATGGCCCCTTATCTGTTAGGAAATGTCTTTTGTCTTATTTGTGTAGATTCCTTATGTATTTTGGATGTCAGACTTTTATGTAAAGTTTTCTTTCTTTTTGCCAACTTATCTTCTTATTCTAGCTGTATTTTTTTTTGTACAAAAATTTTTAAAAATTTATGTAGTGGAAATTGTCTGCTTTATCTTCTGAATTTTCCTCTTTCCTTTGTCGTCTTATAAATTCTTCCTACTTGGTACCTTTTTCAGTTCTGCTCTAATTGTTTAAATCTGCTTTGCTCTTGTATAACTTGGTACCCAGACAGTTTGGAGCTTATTATGATATGGTGTAAGATTCTGATAGCACCCCTTTCAGATGTCAAATTTCTACACACTCCCCCCCCCCCACGATAGTAGTACTGGTTGGATCTTTGAGAAAATAGACAAAAAAAGCCACTGTGAATTCAGTAACACATTGAAATGAATATTATAGTACTTACGACAGCATCTACACCATTTTGAAAAAGAGTAGTATAACTTCAGACGTATTCAGGCTACAGATGGTGGACTTGCTTATTTGTAGATTCCTGGATCCCTTAGTACTCCAGAGGGCCCCCAAGGTTGTGAACAACTGCCCGGGGCCGCCTTTGTTCACAAACTGAGTCATTTTGTTGTTGCTGGCTTTGTAGAAAGGGTAAGCTGCCCACCTGAGACAGGTCACCAGGCTAGGAGGTTATCACGTGACTTCATTAGCTGTGAAAGCTTGTCTAGGGAATTTCATTCGAGGTTTCAAGAAAAGTGATGCATTATGTTCCCTATACTGTATGCAAGGAGCATACATTAAAGTGTATTTGTCATTTTGGCCATCCTAAATTGTTTTGGTAATTTTTTGTTTTCCCCACCAATGGCTGATAAATCTAAAAAGCTGAAGTTTAAGGGACACAAAAGTAAGTTAATTTGATGCTTTGACCTTCTTTAATTAATCTGCTTGATGTTATTACCTTTTTCTAGTTCAAATCAGCAAACTCCAGTCCTGAAAGAAAATGGGCAGACAACAGGAAATCAGCATATGTTTCAGTTCCATTTTCTTCCGTTTTCCTGTGTATTTTTCTAGGGCTTGTATTTTCTTCCTGCTGCCTCACATTATGAAGGAGCAATGAAGATGGAAGATGGGCAGTCATAAGGCTAGCTGTTGCAAGAGAAAATCTTTTAGGAGAATATTGGCAATGTCATTAGTTTTAACCTAACCCTCCTTTAAAGAATTGTGAACATTAGGTTTCTTATCCTCTGTATGATTATATGAGTTTAACTGTTCATTTTAAGAGGAGGCTAAGAGTTTAAAACTACATTTAACTTTTAAAAATTTTGTTTTTGTATAAAAAACATTTTCAAAGACATTCACCATCCAAAAACCAATGTCTGCCATACCTCTTAATTCAGATCAATCTAATTGAAGCTGCCTCCAGGAAGGGTTTCTTTTCTTTTTTAAAAAATTAATTTATTTAATTAAATTAATTTATTTTAATTAATTATCAACAATCACTTCTCTAAGCTTTTGAGTTTTAAATTTTTCTCCCCCTCCCTCCCCACCTCCATCCCCAGAACAGCACGCAACCTGATACAGGCTCTACATATACATTCCTATTAAACATATGGTCACATTAGTGATGTTGTGAGTAAGAATTAGAACCAATGGGAGGAACCACCAGAAAGAGGAAACAAAACTCCACAGAAGAGAAAAAACAGCAGATAGTCTGCTTCGATCTGCATTTGAACCTTCCAGGAAGGGTTTCTGAGTTTGCTTATTTCCCTTTGGTGACCTTGTGGTCAGAGATGACAGGTGCTTAGTCGTCTTCTTTCTCTCTTGTCCTCACCCTTTGTTTTCTCGCGTGTGCTTCTGTTGCAGAGCGTCATTGGGTGGTACCGGTTTAGGAGGAACACTCACCAGCAGATGTCCTACAGGGAGCAGGTCCTCCATAAGCAGTTGACACGCGTCCTGGGGGCGCCTGACCTCGTCTTCCTTCTCGTCAGCTTCATCTCCACTGCAAACAATGCCACTCACGCCTTAGAATACGTCCTGTTTAGACCAAACCGAAGGTAAAGAAGGGAGATTTTCCTCCCGGCGAATTGTGTCTCATGCTGGCGTCCACTGTGAGAATATGTACTGTTGTGTGGTTTAGAGCCTCTGACGTGCCGGTAGATGGATCTTCACCCTCTGACACTTATCACAATTTGGATGATAGAGACGTAACCGGGAGAAATGTGTTTTACTGTCAAGTTCAGATTTGGAAAAAAAAATGTCTAAAAGCAGGTAGAAATCAGGTCTTCTGTATTACCATTAGTGAGGATACATCTTACTGCTGTGGTTGTCTCTTGTTATAAGAGTCTGATAAACACTCGAAAGGGTAGATGGAGGAAGCAGTATTCTAAAGTGCATCCACCCGCGGAATAACGAGGGTTTGACCTGATTAACTTGTGAAAGCAAAACTGTGTTAACGTTTTAGGGCTCTCTGACTTCACTGGTATTGATACTTCCTCCTGGACAGAAACACCATGTGTGTTAGTATTTTCTCCACCTCCCTGACGATTTTATGAGTTATTGTGGCCGCCCTGGTAATGAGCTTGTCCCAGTTTAACTAGGCTGGCTTTTGGATGACACGCGGTCTCGGTGTGTCACGGGAGCCATGTGCCCAGCTCTTCCAGCCTGGTGGAGAACCTAGGAGAGATTAACCTCTGCTAGTGTAGCCTAGGGAATCTGGGAATCACCTCTACTCCAGGCTCAGGGAGGGGGCCTTGAGTCTTCTAAATATGCTAAGGCAGCTTTGCAAAGAAGCAAAACAATCACAAAATTGCCCTGTCCACAGGAAATCTACACGCAATAAAATAAATCTGCCTTGTCCAGTGCAATGATGATGTTGAAATGAGATAATATACGTAAAGTACTTGGTAAACTGTAATATAATCTACAAATAACAGTTGTTCTTATCAAATAAGTATTTGTTAGAGTGTATCAGCTAGATGAGGCCTTCACTTAACATTGTGTGTTAAGCATTGTTCTGGTTGCTGTGGGGTTGTAGAGGAAATATATGGATCTTGCCCACAAGGAGCTTACAATTAATGTATGCTTAGCTGACCTTGACTTACCTTTATAATTCACTTGTGATCTCATTAGCCTAGGTACTGTTTCCAGTGATGCAAATTACATCCCTTTCTAACTTTTTTCCTCCTGTGCATCTCTTTTGTCCTTGTGCCCATCTTCCATGTCAGGTACCCCAAGTAGGCTGGGAAGATCTTTGTGACTGTTGACGTAATGTAGCAACCATTGGAAAATGTGGACTGTCTGTTGATTCTCCCTTGCTTCCATTATGGTGGCTGGCCCTCCTCCTTTTCTGGTCGTACTTCCCTCTGATGGTCTGCTTTGGCTCAGTTCTTCCTTGGTAATAGGATGCAGGACACTTGTGCCTACAGTGTCCTTCTCCACTGCCCTTGGGGTGACCCACAACTCTTAATTCTTGAATGACTGGTGTTCCTTTATTCCCACCTATTCAGAATCACTGGAAAATACTGATGTTAAAAAGTTAGACCTTCATTTCAGGGTCATTTAAAACCCTGCACAATTTCCCAAAGGCAGTCCGGCCTTCTCACACCCTCCACTTCTGGGCTCATTTCATTGTTCATGAGATAGTAGGTAGTGATATAAATATGTAATCTACCTCTGTGGATTATCTGTCCAACTGTACATCGTAGTTGGACAATAGACATCTTTCATCCACTTGATTTTTCCTATGTGAAGAGTTAGGCCATACTCTTCTGAATAATTATAGGTCTCATTGTGGGGTTAGGGTTAGGGTTGGGAAGTCTTGCAATGTGCTGGGGCTTTATGCATTCCTACCAGTGTTCTCAGCAAATAGGAGTGTCTGCAGGATGTATCTATTGGGAATATCGCTCTTTCATTTGGATTTTGCCCTGGTTATTCCCGCATAACAGTGGTAAACATCTTTGGCAAGCATATGTTGCCTCATTATTAAGAATTGGAGGGTCATTTAGTAATCTCTGTTGTTAAATCTTTCAGAGAATCTTTTATGTTGGATTTGATGTCAAAGGACCTGGATTTGAATCCTAACTGCCACGTTCTGCTTGTGTGATCTTAATGTCTGGTTCTCAGTTTCTTTGTCTGTAAAATGGGATTGACTGGGTGTCCATTAAGGTCCCTTTCTGATCTAAACCTGTAACCCAGTGATCCTGGGATGCTGACACAAGCACAGGAGGTACCTTGTTGGTAGAGAGGCCTTGCAGGGTCAGGCCTGGCTCCATTTAGAATTAGAAAAAACTTTGAAACTAGAATGGGCTGCCTAGAGAGAGAGAGAGAGATTGGGCAGGGACCATGTAACACATAGCTCCTCAAGCAGATTCTCTTTAGGAAGAAGTTGGACTGGACAGTGCTAGGCCCTGTCTGTCCCCGAGATTCTATGGTTGTGTCATGGTGACATTTTGCTCTCCTAAGACACCTACTTTTTTACAGTCAACAAATAGGAAGCCTAGTGGAATCTTGTATTCTCTTTACGTTTCAGACCAGCGTAGGAGTGTTAAGATGTGGATTTGGGAAGGCATCTGTCCCCCTCCATTCACAGCTCCACAAAGGACCCTTCTGGTGTACCTGTGTTATTCTCCTGAGGATTTGGCAGAGAGGGGAATTTTAGGCTCATGTGTTGGCAGTTAGGGATAGCTTCTCGATTACCCTTTTTTGGTCCATGATTTTTCCCAAGCCTTTGGTTCTTGGGAATCAGTCCCTCATCTCAGTGCCCTGGACATTTCTATTTCCACCAGAGACCTCTGCATCTTTATTGTCTTTAAGGTCATTTGTTGTTTCCCATGAAGCACATAGGACTATGATGTTAGGATCCCAAAGTGATGCTTCCACTGTCATCAGGAAAGAGATGAATTTATTTATAGAAATAGAGACTGATCTTTTCTACTTTGTGGGTCCATTTGTTGTCTTTCCACATTCACTCTTAAATGTCCTTGATGTGATCCAACTTTGTCAGATCTTTTGCCAAGATTTCTGCAAGTTTTACTTTTCCTCTTCTCCTTTGCATTCTTATGAAACCATACTGTTCAAAATATCCCACTGTAATATTAAATAAATGCATCTATGGTCTGAGCTGTTGTCCTTGGCTGATGTGATTTATGCTTGATTGCTTTATTTTGCAATTTATTTACATCACCCTAGGAAATAATGATAGCTGTGTAAGTGTCTTTTTTATCCGTTTCCTATTTGGGAGTATCAGTAGCTCTTTAAAATGTATCAGGTTAGGGTCACCTTATTTGTATTCTTTCATCTCATTTTGATTTTTCGAGTTTGGTGTTGATTTTAGTCTTTGCTCCAACAATCAGCGTCCAGCTGTATACTGAAAACTAGTTTGGGAATAACTCATTGGTACTCAGTTATTTCCTGTTTGTTAATGTGTAGTCATTTTTTTTTGTGCCATTATTTGGTGTTTACTGGATCCAATTTCATCCAGTTCTTTTCTTGAAGAAAACATTCTTGATCCTTAGGTGCAAGGCTTCTATAGTATCTATAATCTTTTCCCTGCTCTCATTTCTTACTCCTGAACCATGTTTTCCAAAGTATTTTTTGCCATCCTACTCTATGCCCACCGTTACTTTGAATTCACCAAGGATTAAAGTAAATGTTGATCTAATTTGAAGGGTCTTTCTGAACTCTTGATAAAATTTCTTTGCCTCCTAATCCTCTGCCACAGATATTGGTTCATAAGTTGCCATTTTTTGTGGTGATCTTTTTGCTTGTACTGATTTTGAATACTAGGTATCCAGTGAAATGCTGAATCTAGATTCTTTGCAATATACAATAAACCAGATTTGTCCCCTCTCTTTATTTCTGTGTCCAAGGAGAACCTATGGTCCATCCTTCCACTTAGCTGCAACTTTCATTAATCTTAAAAATATGTATTTATTTAACTAGCTTCCTTTTTGACATGACAGTTCACTTTCTAATTCTAACAACATAATACCTTCCCTTAAAAGCAGGATGGCAGCTGACAGAGCATGTAGTATTTGGAACTAATCTTTTTTTTTAATGAACTTATTTATTTTTATTCTGAACTTGAATACCAAATAAAATGGGCACTTCCATATATAAAGTGGAACAGAAAAAGAAGATTGTACATGAAATTGCAAATCTCTATTATGTATAACTTGCTTTTCTTTAAGTGTATAATAAATGCAACCTATAGCTTTCAAAGCTTCTTGTTTGTTTGTGTTTCTTTCCGGCCTTCCTGCTCTTCTCTGTATTTTTTAAAAAAATACCTTGGTGGCCCTCCCTCCCTCCTTTCCTTCCTTCTTCCCTCCCCCCCTCCTTCCCTCTCTTTCTCTCCTTCCATTTCTTCCTTCTTTCCTTCCTTTCTCCCTCCCTCCCTTCCTTCCTTCCTTCTCCCCTCTTTTTGCTACCATTTCCCTTTCTGCCCTTATTCTCCTACTCAGTCCTCCCCGCCTTCATTGGAAAAGCTCTTGTAGCACACGTGCATCGTCAAGGCAGAGCTTCCCACATTGTCTCTGCATATTCTTACTCTTATCCTCCATCTTGAGGCCATCCCCACTCTGTCAAGACATGGGTGGATGGGTGGCATGCATCACCACTAGCCGTCTGGAATCATGGCTACTGAATTAAAAGTTTCTTAAAAGAGAGAAAGTGTGTCAGTCATCATCAGTCATCTGGAAGCATCATTTGTTTAGGTCCCTCTGTTTTCATTCGTGTTGTCATTGTCATTATTAGTATAGTTCTCCTGGTACTGCTTTCTTCATTTTGCATCAGTTTGTTCTCATCTTTCTGTGTTCCTCGGCATTCTTCACAATTCGTCATTTCTTATGATGTGATAATATTTTATCATATTTGTATGCCACAGTGTATTCAGCTGTTCCTCAGTCAATAGGTGCATACGTTCTTTCCAGCTTTGTTGTTGCTGTCAAAAATATTGCTGCGAGTATTTCGGTGTCGATGGAACCTTTCTGTAGTTGACCTCCTTGGGCATAAACTCACTTATGAGATCACTAGGTCAAAGGGTCAAATTAATTCATCTCACTTAATTGCAAGGTTTTTTCGCTAGTTTCATTTGTAGCGAGAATGTCAGGATGGACGAAAGTCGGTTCTTCGAGTAGTGTGTGTACTCACTGGGCAGTGGACGAGGAGCTTGCATTTAAAGGACCGAGAACAAAACTAAGGTTTTAGAGCAGATATTCTTGCCCCTAGGGTCCATAAACTTGTATTTTAAATATTTTGATAACTGTATTTCAATAGAATTGGTGTCCTTTCTCATCCTCTGCATTTTATGTTATGCATTTAAAAACATGACTCAGAAGGGCTTTGTGACACAAAGTTCACCTGTGTTTTAGATGGTCTCAAAACAGTATAATTTGTGTACCATTTGCCTTCCTTTCCAGCACTGCTGCTGTTATTGCCAGAAATTCAAGGGGGCTACTCAGAATGAAGGCTGTTTTGCATTTTTCTTGGTTTCATGAATTGTTACGAAGGACAGAGTCCCATTATCACAGGATCAGCTTCTTGCTGAGGACCGTCTCTTGGCTCAGAGAGGCCAGTCATTGGAAGGCAGATGTCACATGTTGTGGAGATGAAACTTTGAAGACTTTGCAGCATAGTGGAACTTCCTAGAACTTACCTTCCACTGTCATGGCCTTTGAGAACCCAGGGTCAGGCCACGAGGAGTCACTGGAGTAGGATTGTTTAGAAGATTGCTCCAAGTCTTAGAGTCTAAGAGAAGGAAAAACTAACTTAATTGTATAAGGCCAATTGGGTTGTCTGAAGAGGTGGAAGAGTGAGCCCTTCTCTTAGTTCTCCCTTTGAGGTCTCTCATGTAGCCCAAGAACAAAACTCGGGTTTGCAGAAACTCAAGCCCAGAGAAAAAGCCTAGCCTTTCATAAGTCACCTTTCTGAAATTTCCCTGCAGGTATAATCAAAGGGTGTCGCTCACTATCCCCAACCTGGGCAACACCAGCCAGCAGGAATACAAAGTTTCTTCAGTGCCAAACACTTCTCAGAGCTATGCCAAAGTTATTAAGGAGCACGGGTAAGTCAGAGCCTGAGGGGCGGCCTTATCTCACTTATATCTCATGCTGATTGAGAAATTGGACATAAAATTGGTTTTCATTACCACGTAGGAACACTTTTTCTTATTCACCAGCAATTAAGGCAGTTCTCTGGCCCACCATGATTTATATGATTTATACAGTTTTATTTCTTCTTCCTTTTTTTTTTTTCCTGGTGAGGCAATCAGGGTTAAGTGACTTGCCCAGAGTCACACAGCTAGTAAGTGTCAAGTGTCTGAGACCAGATTTGAACTCAGGTCTTCCTGAATCCATGGCTGGTGCTCTATCCACTGCCCCATCTAGCTACCCCAATTTATACAGTTTTAACAATCTCGTGTTGAAATTATGGCATATTATTGCCAACATTTGTATCATTTACAAGACTATTTGAAAATTCTACAAAGCACATGGATAGAATGAACAGTTTTTTAAGAACCATAGAATAGAATGTTCTTTAAAACAATTGGAAGAGTTTTCTTTTCATTTTCTTACCCTAAAATTGGTCATTTCACCTTCCCCTCATTTTACAAATGGATTCAGTATCTCTGCTGTTTTGCCCGGATAGTCACCTTAGGGTCCGTGCGTTTGGCAGTGGAGTATGGGAGGGCGAGATTATCCTACTGGAGAAGTTAAAGAGACCATTAGCATAACTGCTTTCTAACTAATGGTTTTTTTCTTTGTGTCTCTCCTAGTACTGACTTTTTCGATAAGGATGGAGTGATGAAGGACATCAGGGCAATTTATCAGGTGTATAATGCGCTTCAGGAAAAAGTCCAGGTAACTCATAATTGTTTTAAAATGAACTCACTTTGGTGGCTGATTTCAGTTCAGCTTGAATTTTAAATAACCCATCGCTGTAGAAGAGTGCTCTTTGATTTTGAACTGCAGAGAACTGAGAGAAAGTAGGATCAACAATGATTTTTGAAAATACCAACAATGAATGTTAACCTCTGACTTAATGCATGCTGCTCATGATAGAGCAAACAAGCAAATGCAAGCCACCATCCTGGGTCGAGTTACATTTATCCTGTGCCAGTTTGACATGCTTACTGCATGAATTGACATTTCAAGGTTAAAAAATCTTCCTTTTCCATTCCCAAGTGATCTTTACTTACCTGAGAGGTGTATTTATGGCCTCAGTTTCCTAATCTGTACACTGAAGAGACTGGCCCTGGGGCCTTTCCAGTTCTAAATCTGTGATCCTGGAAGCCTACTCTCCTTCATCTGGAACCACACCTGGGAGGAGCACTGAGGCCCAGCTAATTGTGCTTTGACGACAGTGCTGGAGACTGGAGCTAGATGAAGTCTGCTCAGCAGCCACATTGGAGATGGAAGCTGGGAAGTTGCTGCTGCCTCTTAGCTCCTCAGCAGCCGCCAGCAGATGAGCTCCTCATGCAGTGAGGACGTAAAAGGCTGTATTCAGGGTTTGAGGGATTTAAAGTGGCCTTTCCCTGGATAGATATAAATGATGGTGATGTTCTCCAGCAAGTCGACAAAAGTTAATTGAACTCATACTACATGTAGCCAACATCATGGGTCACTATGAAAAGAACCAAAAAGAGATTCTAGACTAGCAGTAGATCCTGGAGAGAAGATAGGCAGAAAGACACAGAGAGGAGTAGTTCCGGAGGCCAAGAAGGCCCCGCTTCGGAACTAGTGACCCACCTCCAGTGTCCCTGCCCTCCCTCGCATGGTTCCTTTTCCCTTTCCCTTATCATGCCCTGGGGACGGGCTGAGGTCATAGCTGTATCCTAGGGTTGTTCTCTCTCTGTAGGAGGAAGGCATCGCGAAGCCGACAGCGCTTTGTCCACAGTGAAATGTGCGTCCCTTTCTGCCCTTAATTTGAGATTGCCCTTTGCCCTTCTCACAAAGCAAACACAAAAAAGGCTGCAGAGTAGGATGCTGGGAAAGGGGGTCTGGTCACTCAGGAACTGTAGTCATTGAATGGGTAGAGTTGTAGACAGCCTGATCTCAAATTGTTCTTCATCCAGCTTGATGTCAGCTCTAGAAGTACATTTTTCAGTGCAGCATAGACTTTCCATAAATATTGACTAATTTGTTTTGGTCATTTTGGAATGTTAAGTGAAATTTGAAGCCATTTAGTTCTTAGTTTTAGAGGCTTTAACGTACAACACTTTGTAGACTAACCGTAAGAAGTTCCCCACGATAGTTGTTATTTCTTATTCGTTGTGTGAGGGAAAAAATGATACACATGATTGAAGAGGTGAACAGGAGTCAGTCTATTGGTTATTTACTTGAAGAGAATCGAGGAAGCATTTCCACTTTGGCCTGCTCGGCCCGGCTGTCCCTGGGTCTGGTGTCCAGTGTCAGCTTCCCGTACACTCCCCTTCATGAGGAAGGCTGTTCTGGGGAGTCCTGCAAGGCCTGAGGCTTAATTGTTCCTGTTTTACTTCTCCCCAGGCAGTGTGCATAGACGTAGAGAAGAGCGAGCGCATGGTCGAGTCTTTTCAGGCAGAGGTGAACAAATTAAAAAGACAAATCACTCACAGGAAGAATGAAAAGGAGCAAGAAATAAGTAAGTTGGTTGTTTTTTTTTTTTTCCGAGATTAACTTGGGACTGTCAGGAAAGTGTTTTGTGGTCTGTCCATTTCAAAGCTATGTTGTATAGGAAGGAGCGTGGCGCAAACCCACTTCATGATCTGAGGAGGGATGGGCAGGTCCTTTTCCTTCCTCAGAGTGTTTCTTTTGAGTCTTTTTGATGAGGAAAAAAAAAACAAATGAAAGCAAAATATGAACACAGAGTGGTTGGCATAGGTTTGAGTTGTATAGGGCACAGGATGTGGTCACCCAAGATGGGCTGTCTTCAAGGAGCATCTGTGTGTTCAAGGCCCTGTGGAGGGAGGATGCACAGAAGACAGACATCACTATCGTCAGAGACAGAAGTGTGAGAGAAAGTTGGGTGTGAAAGTGAGACGAATAAGGAGAGGCCCGGAGGGTTGTCGGAAAGGGACCTGATGGTCAAGCTGACTGAGGGTGTGAGCTCCTGCTGCTGGTGCCCAAGCTATTTCTTCATTGCAGCCAAGTCCCCTGCCCCCAGCCTCAATCTGTCTGAATTGTTTAGATTTGGAGCAGGAGGTGGGATCCATGGGAAACGATTGAAATGAACTGTTGGTTGAGGACTTTGACTGTCCCTGGCCTCCCAGTTCCTCACTGTCCTCAGCTGCCAAGACCTGTATGTGTACTCCACTTCAGCCATCCCCAAGAAGGCTCAAGTTCTTGATGTCATGCTTACTCATCACCACTGTCATTTGGAACTATCTAATTCCCTCTTTGGTCACCATCCCCTGCTCTTTCTCTCCTCCTTCCTCCATTGATATAACTGAAATTACTAATTCATCTTTGTGGCAGCCTCTGCTTGCTCCCTGTTATCCCAGTCTGTTGCCCTCTCTGCCCTGCCCTGCCTTTCCTTCCTGCACAGTTGGACTGTACGTTGTCCTCCATCCTCGCCCCCTCACCACCCTGCAGACCCTGGCACACCCCTGCCAGCCTGCTCCTCAGCTTGCATATTGCTGGAGAAAGTCACTGGACCACTTGGACTGGGTCTCCTGCAGATTCATGCTGTTTCGTTGTGACTCCCTCCCTTAGTGTCTGCTCTAAGCCTTCTTTCTTTTTTAAAATCAGTTTTTATTAGTGTCTTCCCTCTTTTTCCATCCTCATCATTTTCCCTAGTCTAGTCTTCCTTCTCTTTCCACTTCGGGAGAATCATTCCGTGTGACAGAAAAGAACAAGAAGAGGAGAAAGCATGTGCCACCTCTCGATACGCTGGGAAAGTCTGACAGCACGTGCAGTGAGCAGCACGAGCAGGCCTCCCTGTCCTCAGAGACAGGGACCCAGGAGGGGGTGGTGTGGGTGGGTTTCTCCTCCATCCTCATTCAAGGCCTCCTGGCTCTTTGTAGTTTCATTCCATTCACTTTTTACGTTCCTGTAGTTACTGTGTATATTGCCATTGACTCTGGTCTGCATCTGTTCGCATCAGTCTTTCCAGGCTTTTATGCAAGCTTTCTTTTTAAAAGCCTTCAGTGTTACCACAACCTCTCCTACTCCCTGGTTATCTTTCATCTCTTATTTTGCTGAAAATGTGTAACTTTGTTGTGCGAGCCCTCATTTCCTTTGATTTAAGCTCTCTACGTCTCAACTTCTCCTTTCTTTATTTACTCCAGTCCTGGCCCTGCTTCTTGGGAAGGGAAACCACTTCTTGGACCTTCTCTCCCATACCCTCCCATGCCCTCTGGGAGCTTGTCTCTTCTAGCATTCTGCCCCCCCCACTTTAATCTCTCCCTAACTGTTGGCTGCTTTCCCACTGCCTGCAGACATACTCAGATGTGTCTCATCCTTAGAAAACCTTCACTTGACCCTCTCAGCCTCCTGTATTATTTTCCTGTCTCTCTCTTCCCTTTCACTGCCAGATTCCTAGAAAGAATCATCCTCATGGGCTGTCCTTTCTTCTTCAATCCTCCACCCCACCACTTCTTAACCCCTTGCAGTCTAATTTCCAGCTCTGCCTCTCTAGTAAAACTACCTTTCCCAAGGTGACCGGTGGTCTCTTAACTGCTAGATATGATGGCTTTTCCTTATTTCTCAGCCTTCTTGGAGAATAAGCAGATTTTGACCAACGCTTTCCCTTTCTTTAACTTTTGTGACACTGCTCTGTCCTGGTTCTGCACCTGCCTGTCTGACTGCTCCTCCTCGGTTTCCTTTGGTCTCATCATTCTTCTTCCAGCCCCTTAAGTGTGGATGCCCCCCACCTCTACCCTGTGCTCTGTCCTAGGCCCTCTTTCCTCTGGAAATTCTTTTCCCTGGTGATGTCATCTGTTCTTGTGGGGTCAGGTATCATTTTTATGCAGATGACTTCTAAATCTATGAAACCAGCCGTACTGTAACTGCCTCTTCAGTTGTCTATGTGAGTATCCAGTGTCAGCATCAAAACTCACATCAAGAAGGGAATGCTGTGTTTCCCCAAAGCCTGCCCTTCTCCAGACTTCTCTGTTTCTGGCAAGAATGCTGAGATGCAGGTGTGTGCTCACCTTTCCCTTTCCCTTACATCCCATGGCTGATCGCTTGCCGGATCCATCCTGGAACTTCCTCTTCCATCTGTTCCCACATCCCTGTTCAGAATGGCATTGCCCAAGTATAGATTCTCATCTCAGAATGCTACAAGACTTTGCCATGAAATTATCCCCCCTCTTGAACTTGTAAGGAGACCAGCTTGGACTCGATTTTGTATTTCACCTGCTACTTGGTACTTTTGTTGCACTCGTGTATTAACATTTTTTATGTTTATGCCATCTCCTCTGTTAGATTTGAAGTTCCCTGAAGTCAGGAGCCATATGTAATCAAAGCTTTGTATTCACCCCAGTGCCTAGGACAATGCTGGTCACACAATGAGTGTGGAATAAATGGAGAATGGAATTTCCAAGAAGCTCAAAAAGGCAACTCAGTTCAGATAATTTATTTGGGTTGAGTGGAAACAGATACTGGGAGATAGAAAGATAAATAGATGGATGGCAGGCATCCTGCAAGGTTCTGGGCATACAAAGATGAAAAGTGACACAACCCCTTCCCTGAAAGAACTTCCATTCTGCTAAGGGGAATATGGGGCTTGAAACCATAAGTGCTGTCAGGTATAAATGATGTAAAACTTTGGGTGAATTGATAAATTTTAATTTTCATTAAGTTGATGTTGGCAGCTTTATTGTTGCTGTCATTATGAATAAGCAAGTTGGTAAAAATTTGGAAAAATGAAAGGAAGATTGAATAATGCTCTGAACTTAACATGGGCCTCTGGGAGTCTTAATGAGAAAGAATTGGATCAGAGCTCTGATGGGAGTTGTGATTCATTTTTTTAGGTGACATGACACATGTTGATGTTATACTGGTAGGGTTAGTTTAAGTTCTTTGCAGTCAAAACTCTCAATTACTGATTTTGCCAGAAATAAATGGGAACATAACATTTCAGATGACAAAGACTATATGATTCATTTTTTAATCCCAATATACTTAAATTCGATAGAGTACAGTCAGTGTCCCTCAGTAGCAGATTTATCCTTCCAAACCCCTCCATTAGGAAGAAGGAGGAAAACTGAATTAGTCAAACCTACATTAAAAGAAGCTAGAAAAGGAGTGAACAACCCAACAGAAGTGGAAGGAGGGCGAGGATGATTTTAACACAATGGAAAATGAAAGGACAGTTGAAATGTTTAAACTAAGAGTTGGTCAGATTGTTTGGGTCTTCATGAGAGACCCAATGATATTGATAAGTAATTAGCAAATTAGTCAATAATTAGTCAAAAAAAGAAGGAAAACTCAGATTTTCACAATTAGAAATGAGCAAGAAGAAATCATAGGAATGCAAAAGAAATTAGAAAAATGATCAGAGATGACTGCTTCTCTTCACTCTTTTTCTTTTTTTCTTTTTAATTAATTTATTTTTAGTTTTCAACATTCACCTCCATAAGCTTTTGAGTTCCCAATTTTCTCCCCCTTTCTCCCTTCCTGCTTCTTCAAGATGGGTCCCAATCTGATATAGGCTATAACATATACATTCCTATTAAGCATATTTTCACACTAGTCATGCCATAAAGAAGAATTAGAACCAGTAGGAGGAACCACAAGAAAGAAGAAACAAAACAAAACAGAAGAAAAAATTTTCCAGTTTTCCCACATCTTTTCCAATATTTATCATTTTCCTGTTTTGTCATGTTAGCTAATCTGATAGGTGTGATGTGGATACTTCAGAGTCATTTTGATTTGTATTTCTCTAATCAATAGTGATTTAGAGCATTTTTTATATGACTATAGATAGCTTTAATTTCTTCATCTGAAAATGGCCTGTTCATATCCTTTGACCTTTTATCAATTGGGGAATGACTTGTATTTTTTTTTTTTTTTGCTAGGCAGTGGGGTTAAGTGACTTGCCTAGGGTCACACAGCTAGTAAGTGTTATGTGTCTGAGGCTGGATTTGAACTCGGGTCCTCCTGAATACAGGGCCGGTACTCTATCAACTGCACACCCTAGTTGCCCCCAGGATGACTTGTATTCTTATAAATTTGACTTTGTTCTCTATATATTTTAGAAATGAGGCACTTGTCAGAGACGCTAGTTGTAAAAATTCTTTCCCAGTTTTCTGCTTCCTTCCTAATCTTGAATGCATTGGCTTTGTTTGTGCAAAAACTTTTCAACTTGATATAATCAAAATTATCCATTTTGCTTTTCGTGATGTTTTCTAACTCTTGTTTGGTCATAAATTCTTCTGGTCACTCTTTTCTTATAAATATGTGCTAGAAAATAGACCACTCTCAGAGGGAAAAGTTGGGCAAGCCACTGAGGATCTGCCCTGTAAAAGTCACAAATTATTTTTTTTCTAACTTAAGAAATCCCTATATTACAGAAGTTGTTCGTAAACAGAGAAAGTATGGTGTGCTACTCAACTATCTTATGGAAAAATGTAATTTTTAATATCAAAATATGGGGGAAATTCTGAGAGAAAATTATGGCCCATTTTTGTTGAGTAATATAAAAGTTGTGATCTCAATAGGTGCAGAAAAGGCCTTCAGTCAAATACAAAATCTATTTATGATGAAAAACATGAAGAAGAAGAGGCCCCCAGAATATCAAACTATTGACAAACCACACACACACACATTTGCAGCCAAATAGGTTTTTTAATAGGATACGAGGATAGTTCGATATTAGGAGAAGAGTTGATGTGACAAATTATATTGACAAGACAGATCATAAACATTATAACAAAAATAGTTGCAGAAAGGGCCTTTGATAAAAACTTAGCATTTCTTTATAATGAAAACTATGAAAAAGTAAAGGAATTTTTCCTAAAAGATAAAAAGCATCTATTTGAAACCAAGAGCCAATATCACACATGGTAGGGAAGCATTTGAAACATTCCCAGTTAAGTCTGTTGGTGGTGCACATTTCTCGGCATCCTTCTATTAAGGTTCTGGAGGGAAGCTCACCTTCCCCACCCCCTTCACTGCCCAGAATTAGCCTCCCTAGAGAGAGGAACTCGGGCAGCCTCTGTCTGAGAAGGGGTTTGGACTTGGGCCTTCCTGACTCCAGGTACATGACACCACACTGTCTTTTGTCATTTTTAGTCAATGTGGTTTTAGAAATGCTAGATGTGCTAATAAGGTGTGAAGAAATTAATAAATGAGGCTCTGATAATGAAGAGACGATTTCCAATTATAGATAACAGAGTTGAATGTATCAGAAATCCAAACTACTGACTTCAGTAGGTAACTTTGGTGAGATAGTGGATTAACCACCCTCCAAATCAACCACATTTTAGACACAGTTCAGTACATTAGGATTCTATAGCTTTGTGAGTGTGAAAACTTCCCCTTCCTATACACCGTCACCCCCCTCCGGCCCAGCTCAGGTTGGAGGCCTTTGGAAGTCAAGCACATGGGAGAAGAACTGGTCCTGGGCACAGAGCTAGGAGCAACCAGGGAAAGCTTTGGGCCCAGTGGTAGGGAGTGTTCTGTTGTCGAGAGCTGCCTGGGGACTGTGGGTGGGTGGGGGGCCGGCTATAGAAGTGTTCGGATTATGCCTGACTGGTGGACCTGGGGGGGTCTTCTCCTGCTGGAGAGTTAGCGATCTAATCCCCTCATTAATGTGCCCTGTCCTTCCCCTGGTTAGAGTACACATTTCTGTCGGGCAGTGACTGTGTCTTCTTCAGTTTTGCATTCCCTGCGTGTCATTAACAAACTAAGTCCACAAGTGTTTATTAAGGACCTGACCTGCCACGTGCCCAGTGTGGAGGCTACAGAACAGGGCAAAAGTCCCTGCTCTCCCGGAGGAGTAACCTGCAAGCAGCGTGTAGCTAGGATAAGTTGGAGGCGTCAGCTGAGAAGAAGTGCTAGCTGGAAGGGGGCAGGGAAAGGCCTCTTGGAGAAAGGGAGGCCAGGAGGCCGAGAGAAGGCCTGCAGTCTGCAGATGGCATGTCTTGTTTGAAGAACAGCTGTGGAGCTGGTATCCCTGCATCCCAGAGTATTTGGGGAGGAGGGTGCCAGCTTGTGAAATGGCTTTGAGTGTCAGAGAATTTTATGTTGATCCTAGGGATCCTTGGAGGAGTTTATTGACTGGGACCAGTTGGGGTGGGAGGGTTGGACCTGAAATTTGGCAGGCGAGTAGAGGATTATTAGAGTCCAGACTGAGGTGATGAGAGCCTGCCCTGGGGTGATTGCTATGTCAAGGAAGAGCGGGACATAGAGAACAGATGCTGGGAGTGAGAGAGTGGTCCTGAAGATGACACCTGGGGCCTAGGAGGGTGGTGTGGCCTTCAGGCTTAGGAAGAGGAGAGGGCTGGGGTTGAGGAAGACAATTCGGTTTTGAACATGTTGAAGGTGAGATGTTGGCAGAACGGTCAGAACTAGACAGATCTGCATCTTCTGCACACAGAGAACAGAATCCATGGAAGCTGATGAGATGACCAAGTAAAATAGGACATAGGGAGAAACAAGAGGGCCCATTCTTGCCTTGTCTATAGAAGACACATAAGGTATCTGATTAATGGATGGAGTGGTAAATGTAACGGCTTTTCTACTGGAGTCTGAAATTATACGAAAGAAGTTCAGATGCAGCATGAATTACTAGTTAACAAAGAAGACTGCTAGTTAGTTAATAACATTTACCACAGCTGGTCAGTTGGGCTTCTTAATGCATGGGGACGAAAAACAGGATAAACAATATGATGTTAACCCTCTTCTGTTTCCACCTAGGATTGCAGCAGGCCCTATTGAACAGGCAGTTGTCTGCAGAAAGTTCAGAGCCAGTGTTCAGTGCTCGGCTGCCATATTCTGGGTTTGAGGTGGAAGGCAGCGCCCTTGGAGATGCCGAGCCCTCTGACCCACCCCCTCCTTATTCAGACTTTAACCCAGCCTATCAAGAGAGTACTTTGGGCCATTCTCTCCTGGACAGTAGCGTCTTTATGCCTCGACCTCAGGCTGTAGGCTCCTCCAGTTTTGTTTCCACAAATGCAGGATTGAAGTATTCTGGCAACAGCACAGCCCTGCCCCTGCCCCACAGAGCAGTGGGAGACAATGCGGATGACTCAGAAGACAGTGATTGTGGTCCTGGGGGTCCCTCTCCTAGCGAGTGCTTACACAGGCGGGGTTCCCGGCCGACGACGCATCCTGACGGAGACTCCAGGAGCACTCAGACCTCTCAGATATGAGGGAATGCCACAGACTCTCAGTGTAGCACTGCTTTTCTTCTCTGTTGTCGAAGGTCTTTTAGGGGACTTAATTTCAGAGAAAAATACTGCTTTGCAGAAATGGAGACTCCCCGAGGAGGCTTCTTGTGCACAGAAGGCACGCAGAGACTTGCCCTCCATGGCTTTACCCGCCTCGTGATACAGTTTGCAAGTTTCATAATGGAAGCATTAGGATAATCAAGTTGTACTAATACTGATGAGATCCATGGATGTCTTGGTCAATTAGGCAAAGTGAAATTTATAGAAACCTTTTAGTTTTGGTCGCCGTATTTTCATTAAAATAAATTGGGAATTGGAGACTGAGCACAATTAGTCTATAAATGTCCTATAAAAATCAAAAACTTACCTCTTGCACTATCATGCCTTGAAATTTAGTTTTTGAAAGGGAAGCAGGTTCAGCAGTAGCCTTCAAAGAAACTTTCTACGATGAGCCAAATTATTCTTTGCCAGAAAAGAAATTTTGATAATTCTAAGAATTAGCCTGATTGGAACACATCGGACGTACCTTCTCCAAGCTGCATGCCCTTTTGAGATCAGAAGGGAAGGGTTCTGTTTCAACTTTTTTACTAGCCAGATGTGTGTATCACTTAAAATGGTTGCCTTTTTACATAGGAATACTAATTCCCAGTAAACAATCACCCATGGAAGTAGGTCCCAGAGTTCTTGGTGTGCGAGGTCAAGATCGAGGTCATGGGCTCCAGTGGCGACGTCACTGCCTGAAGATAGAGGGCACACAGAGTACAAGGAAAGAGCCTTGGGCATCTTATCTAGATTTTGTAACAAAAAGATTCCAAATGTGATTTTTTTTCCCCAGAGATTATGTATAAAGGAGGTAATTGATTTATGCCTTCGAATGAAATTATTAATGTAGTTTTATGGAAGGCCTATGGGGAAGGGCCTATAATGGAAACAAATCCGTTTCATTATGTTGGTGATTAAAGATTTGTTTTACATTTGAAGAATAGTACTTATAAGGGAAAAAAGTTGCCATTTTGGAGACAAAGTGGTGTGGGTGTGTGCTTGCGGGTGTGTGTACGTGTGTGTGCGCGTATAGATTTTTATATTGGGATGCACTTAGGCTGTTATTTAATTACCGCTTCTCTTCTCATTTTGCCCAAAAGATGTGAAATGGGGCCCCTGAAGTCCCAGGGGCTTTTTGGTTCTGAGCTTGCAAATGACAAAACCTGCCATTAACCGTGAGGTGAGCACCTGTGTGTTTTGAAACATAACTGCCTTTCCTTTGACTTCCACAAAACCGACAGGAGCAAAGACATCCCAAGAGAGACAGTGAAAGAGGAGGCTCTCCTGGCCCTGCTCCTGTGCTAGTTAGATGATGCGGTCCGAAGAGGGATGTGCGCCAGCTCATGCTTCAGAGGTCCTCTTTCCTGTCGAACGGTCTCCATTTGTCGAGATTGCATTCTTTGTTCGCCTTAACACGACTGCTTGGGATTTGGCTTGGGATATTGCAGGCCATTTTCAGACAGACTTGTTTGGTTTTCCTGTCTGCTCTCTACAGACAGCTCTGGGCTGGTGGATGGGAGGAGACATGCTGCCACCCTCCCCTCAGGGCAGTTTTCTTCACCATAGGAAGATATTTTTATTTTGATGCCGCACAACAGTCTGCAATGTACGCCTGACAAAGCCGTGAATGTGACAATAAAAGCCTATTTAATCCTGTACCTGTGGTCTCGCTCTCTCTCCTCAGCATCCAGCCAGGCCTCCCTCCCCTGCCCGCTCCCTCGCTTTGCTGGCCTCTTGTTCCAGCCACCAAAGTCAGCCCTAGGAGGAGCCTTCCACTGATCTGGACAGGTACATGCTGGTCCACAGGATGCAGAGAGAACTTGGTGTCGCAGAAATGTAGGGCCTTGCAAAAGGAGAGCAGAGAAACCCGTCTTCTTTAAAGTAACTCTGCCAGCCGTGAATGTGTAAGGCCTTGGAGGTTTTTGTCCTAGAATAGGAAAACTCCTTCACATGTCAGGGATGGAAAATGTGCTGTAGGGCCTGGCTTGGTATCTCAGGCCTGCTGCTTACTCTCTGTGTGATCTGAAGGCAGTCGCTTCTCTCTGGGCCTCCATTTCTTTATCTGTAGAACGTGGAGGTGGGAGGGAGCTCTGCAGTGTTGTAGGATTTATTGCATTTGGCTCAGTGTCTTCTAGAAGACCTTGCTATCTACAGAGAATTTCTCTTCCATTTGGATTCCACACTGGACATGTTCTACCACCATAGCAAACACTTTTGGCAAGTGTGTGTCCTGATTTGGCCAAATTAGAAGCCACAGACAAGTACTAGGCAAGTGTGCTGTCAAGAAGAAGAAATGTTTATTCTGTTATTTAACTTTGTGGTTGTAACAGCTTGGAGAGCGGGTGGGGACTGAAAACTTGGTGTATCGGGCACTTTGGTGATGCCAAAGTAAGGGAGAACATGCACCGCAGCCCCCTCTGGCTCCCGCTGGCCAGCCTCACGCCAAGTCCAAGGCCCTGTGGACAGTGGGTATAAGATTTTCTCGGCCCCATGGATCTCAGCTGGTCCAGTCCGGGTTCTGCCTTTGCATGACAGATGTTGCAATCTGCATCAATCGTAGTCATTCAGATTTCATTGAATACATCATCTTTTTTGAATATACTTGAACCTTGACATGCTCCCTTCTTCTGACCAAGAGTTAAGGTAATTCATTATTCAACGAGCAGATAGTGAGGCCTGCTGGGCATTAAGCTAGGCACTGGGGAAATGGAGACCAAAACAGGCTAAGGCTTGCTGGCCGGCCTCACAAGCTTTCCACTGAGGAAAAGATTCTGAAAGTATTTTTGATTTAGCTTCTGTATTCCACATCTCTTTAATTCATCTAGTCTTTGGGCCCATGCAAATAACTCTTGGTGGCCGCAGTAGGGACTTTTAATCATATCACTCTTCTCATTCTTCATTTCCAGATGAAAAACTCTTTCATTTAAAGTTTCCTGGCCATTTCTTGTAAATCTGGAAACAATTCAACTTTAAGTTGCCTAGTAGTCACTTAAAACTTGCCTTCAGAGAAGTAAGGATGTTCAAAATGTAAAACAATCATTGATAGTATTTGTCCAAGGTGTGAGTGGGGAGCCTTTCCAGGTTACTATGAGATATGTTCAGCCCTGTGGTTCTGGAGTCAAAGGAGAGAAGGCTGACTCATTTTTACATATGCTTTTTTCCAAAGTCAGCTTTTTCCTTGGCCATCAGTTTCCAGATTTCAGGCTTTTCCTGAATGTGGAAGGATGAGCGTTGTATGAAGGTTGTTTGGTCACTACCTCAGTATTTCTTTGCTTTTGTGATGCCCTTTGTTTGGGTGCTATCCTTACTAGCACAGATGGTGGCCCAGCTTTGCCTGCTTGTCCCATGGGACTCTTATTCCTATTTTCTTATGAATCTTGCAGAGAGGACCCTGCCCCTACCCTCAGGAGTCCTTCTTAGCATCTAGGTAGTCCCATCTGTTGTCCCACCTCCTTTTGCAGTCATGCATTTCCATGGTGGTGTCTCTTTGCTTCCTGAACTCAGAGTATTGTTGGAAATGGGCTGTGGTCTGCTCGTAGCCATCACGTAGCTCTGTTGTCCCTTTACATCACCCACAGTTTTAGTTCTTTGGAGCCAAAGATACACAAATATAAAGGAGGTCTGGTTTTGTCAGTTTGGAGAATTCCCTCCATCAACCCAGATTACCACAGTATGACAGGAAATGAAGGGACCTGCCTGTTAAATGTCTGGAGCAAGATTCCAGCCCCTGTGTCCTGACTCCCATCCAGCATTCTGTCTATCATGCCATGACAAGCTACCCCATTGCTGCAATGTGCAGCTTTAAAATAAGACATGTTTCCATTGTCAGGCAGTGGTGGGGACACTGGAAGAACACACATTTATGATGCTCAAGTGTGAGGTTCCTGAGTGGCATTTTGCCTAAATTGGTTCTGAGCTATATTACTGAATGCCTTTTTTTTTTAATTACCAAACCCTGTAGTCCCCTTTGCATTTAAGTTGCTGAGTATCAAAACACATGTTGACTTGGCAGAGCCCTTTCTGGAATTTCCCTGCCTCTTCAAACTCTGCAACGGATTTTGGTGCATAAACCATTAGGCTTCTTGGTAGGGTTTTTGTTGATGGTCCAGTAGAAATGGAAAGACCAGCAGACCAAGCATGTCATGAAATGCTTCTTACAGCCTTTGGGCAACACACTGAAATGGTCTCTGCCAATTTCACTTCCATCAGTCCCTGGACAAAGAGCCCACATTTAGAACACCAGCAGTTTGGTGAAGGCTTATTGCTTGTCTAAAAAGGATTCTCAGCACCTCCTTCCCCATCACACAGCTCGCCCATTGTCGCTGTGCATGCAAAAGAGGCTGAGCTGGACCAAGGCCATGTTGTATTGTTGTTTCTTGGGTTGCTGCGGCCAGAGAGGGACCTCATCTCACCTAGTGGTCAGCCTACTGGTGATGAGCCTCTCCTGGACCCACAAGCATTCTGTCACTGGAACTCTCTTTGAGGCCTTTCCAACATGGTAGATTCTGCCAAAATTTGTCTTCTATTGGTGTAGACTTTGAGAACTCATGGTCACTTCCATTAAGTAGTAGAATGTTTGGTACAGTGAGTGTCTAGGGGGCACCACAGAACACTGGGCCTGGGGTCAGGAAGAGCTGAATTTAACACTCTGTGTGACCCCGACCAAGTCACTTATCCTATGCTTGACTCAAGTTTCCTCATTTGTAACATAGGGATAATAACAGTGCCTACCTCCCAGGGTTGTTGTCAGGCTCAGATGAGACAATAGTGGTGAAGTGTTTAACACGGTGCCTGGTACACAGTAGGTGCTCTCTGAATGCTTTTTCCCTCTCCCTGCCACTGAGTGGTATAGCATCAGGGCAGTACTCTTGTGGAAGAGCTGAGAGGGATGTGTGAGTGAGCAAATCTGGCCACATAGGATACATTCCAGGTAATAGGTGTGTAGAATGTGTCTAGTACCAGACTGGAAGTCTATTTGTCTAACTTGTCCTAAGCCTAGTGTGCGTGCTCTTTCCCTGTGGTTGGGATTGCTGAGGGAGACCTGGGCTTTCTCTAAATCACTCAGAGGTCCCCTGATGTTCAGTGGAAGGCACAGACACCTCGATGCCGTGGTCATCTGGAGGGCAGAAACAGCAGAGAGACCTTGGGCAAACCAGCCCACGCAGGAAAGCGTCAGAAAGAGGCACTGCATGGCCCTGGATCAGTCAATTGAAAAGCACTTAATAAACTCTGTCCATGAGCCCTGGAGGCACAGACAAAAGTGAAACAGCCCTGCCCCCAACGAGGTTACGTTCTAGTGGAAGAAACAACATGTTCAAATAAAGTACATACAGAACAGATGCAGAGTGAATGAAAAGTAGCTTGGGAATGGGGTTCAGTAATGGGCAGAAAGAAGGACCAGGGCTCTGCCTCAGACACGTACTGATTGTGAAATGGGGGGAGAGGGGGAGGCCACTTAACCTTCCTGTGCCTCAGTTTCCTTATCTGCAAAGTGGGGGAGGGAATCCTACTCAGTGGCCTCAGAGGTCCTTTCTAGCTCTCTGGAGAGGCGGGAGCCAAGTGAATGAAGATTAGAACTGGTGAGTGACAGCCGTGGAAAGCTAGACAGGAAGCCAAAGATTCTGTTGCCAAGTGTGGTGGCAGGTAGACGTTCAACATTTCATAACACTTTTAAAAAAAATATTGTAGTATAATACATCTTAATAAAACTAATACACAAACTTACTAAGTCTTAGTGGAGTTATTATCGAGTATACTAAGTTCTTCCTTCACTGTTGCTCACCCTAACTTCATTCAGTTCACTGAGCATCTGCTAAGCACCTGTTGCCAGATACTGGGCCCTGGAGATATGCCAGAATAAAAATGGAATGGTCCCTACCGTCTCAAGGAGCTTCCATTCTTTTGGGGAGTTGCAACATGTAGACAGATGAATAAACACAATATTTGTAGCACTTAGGTCACCCCACTTCCCGCCCCCAATTCCCAGATTAGGTTCTCCCAGACAGGGCTACCTCGAGTTCAAGATAACACTGTGGGTCCACATCCACTCAAAACCATGGCTTCCAAGCCTCTCATTAATGTTCTTAGCCAAAGGAAGCAGTTAATTCAATATCATAGGTAAGAAAAACCTTAATAAAACACTTCCCTCATAACTTGGGGACATACTTTCCTGCAGGCATATACACCATCAGTGGAGGGAGAGAGGGATTCTGTGAGTCAGAGGTGAGGAGAATTGAGGGTGTATAGAGAAATAGAGAATGCTTTTCTCCTAAGAAAGTGTTTAGGTGGACAGCTAGGTGGTATAGTGGATAGGGCACTGGCCCTGGAATCAGGAGGACCCGAGTTCAAATCTGGCCTCAGACACTTGACACTTACTAGCTGTGTAACCATGGGCAAGTCACTTAACCGTATTGCCTAGCCAAAAAAAAAAAAGTGCACGGATGCCAGGACTTGATAAGCTTAAACACACTTGGAATCTACACCTGGAAGTCCGTACGTAAGTTAGTAGTGCAGTCTCGTTTGGCTATCTGGGTAACGTTTTTTCTCAAAGGTTCTCTGTGGTTTCCATTTCACTAGAAAAACCCGTTGGGGCCTCGTGCTGCTGATGACAGTGGAGCATCTCTCGTGAGGACTGGAAATTAGCTGAAAAGAATCTGTG